ACTTGACCATGTCTTCCATATACTTTCATTTTGGTTTAATCTCTTATCTATCAGTCAACTCACAAAAACTCACCCATATTCAGTAACATTTTTCCATGATCGATGTGTGTTTAGGACCTGTCCGAGAAGAAGATGATTGGTTTGGGTAGTGCACATGGCGGCCTCTACTGTCTTCAAACCCCTTCTGCACATCTCATCACCGGCACACCCATCATCGACATTTGGCATTGGTGGCTTAGACACCTCTCTCATCATCGTTTGTCTAAATTAGCTAAGAATATTCCCTCAATCTCCTTTTCCAATAAATATATTTGTGATATTTGTCTATAGGAAAAACAAACAAGATTAAGTTTTCCTACTAGTTCCATTTCATCTGATAAGCTATTTCAATTAATTCATGTTGACATTTGGGGAAGTTTTTCTCAACAATCTTTTAGTGATGCACGTTTCTTCTTGGCTATTGTGGATAATTTTTCAAGATGTGCTTGGGTATACCTCATGCGTTTTAAGTCTGACACAAAATATTATTTAAAATCTTTTTTTTTTTTTTTTGCCATGGTGAAAACCCAATTCTATTGTCAGATAAAACATGTATTTTCTGGTGAAGGGGACTTATTTCTTCCTTAAATTCAACAAGTCCGTTCTGACAATGGCACGGAATTTTTGTCAAATGAAATGCAAGATTTCTTTTCTGAAAATGGTATCATTCATCAACACAGTTGTGTGTCCACACCTCAACAAAATGGTGTTGTAGAGTGGAAACACCGGCACCTTTTAAAGGTTGCTCGGGCATTAAGATTTCAGGCAAGCCTGCCTCTTTCTTTTTGGGGAAAATGCATACTCACTGTTGCCTACTTAATTAACAAAACCTCCACACCCTTGTTACAAAAAAAATCACCTCATGAGGTATTGTTCTCTGAGCCACCTCTTTATTCTCACCTTCGTATTTTAGGTTGCCTAGTTTTCGCTCATAATGCTCACATCAAACACAAGTTTGATCAACGTGCAAAATCCGGAGTCTTCGTTGGATATCCCTATGCCCAAAAAGGATACCGAATATATAATATCAAAAGCAAAAGAATTTATGTGTCCAGAGATGTTATTTTCATGAAGCTATATTTCCTTTTCAAGATGTTACTTCAATTTCCAAGCTCTCACCAGTCATCCCACTACCTATTGAGGATCATCTACAATATGATTATTCGCCCCCATCCTTAAGTGCACCCACTACAAAAAAAAACCAACTTCCCTTCTAATGGAATTACCTCGGGATCAAACAGAGCGTCCTCCCATTATTTGAACATATCATAGACAAAGGTTTGCTCCTCCTGTTCTTGTTGACACCCAATCAAATCAACCAATACATTCATCTAAAGAAGATACTCCTAAAATTCACCATTCCTCCATCTGCCATTCATTCCACTCGAGAACTACGAAAACCAACCTATCTTCAAGATTATCATTGTTCGACGGTCACTACTGCTGCACTACCTACTCCAGCAACTTCCAATTGGACCAATATCCTCTACCCAATTGATCAATATATTACATATACTAACTTTTCAGGTGTCCATCGAGCCTTCGTGTCTGCCATCTCCTCCAACGAAGAGCCAAAGTCATTCTCCTAAGCAGTTAAGATACCCCACTAGCGTGATGCTATGACCGTAGAACTTACTGCCCTTGAAAACAAACACACATGGAGCCTCACTCCTTTACCACCCAATAAGAAACCTATTGAGTGCAAATGGATTTATAAAATCAAGTATCACTCTGATGGCAGCATTGAAAGATACAAAGCCCGCTTAGTTGCCAAGGGCTTCACACGAGTTGAAGGGCTTGATTACCATAATACCTTTGCCCCCGTTGCCAAGCTTGTTACTGTACGAGCTCTTTTATTAGTTTCTTCTATTAAAAAGTGGTCTCTTCATCAACTTGATGTGAACAACGCATTTCTTCATGGTGATTTGGATGAAGAAGTGTACATGACTCTTCCACCCGGTTTTGCTTGACAGGGGGAGACTCGAGTTTGCAAACTACATAAATCTCTCTATGGTTTGAAGCAGGCTTTTCGCCAATGGTTTGCAAAGTTTTCCCACACTCTTCATAATGCTGGATTCTCCCAATCACGAGCAGATTACTCTTTGTTTACCCGGATCACAAGGCAATCTTCCACTTTTGTCTTGGTGTATGTCAATGACATCATCATTACTAGTAATGACTTCTATGCAATTCAGCAATTGAAACACTTTCTAGCACAAAAAATTTTCATCAAAGACCTTGAGCGACTAAAATATTTTCTTGGTATTGAGGTTGCGCGTTCCCAGCGAGGCATTTTTTTGTCCCAACGCAAATATACGTTGGACATCCTTAAAGATGCAGGATTACTTGGTGCTAAGCCTTCTGCCACTCCCATGGAATAACACCTTCATTTGACTCCTATTGATGGTACACCTTTATCAGACCCTTCTTCCTATCATCGGCTAATAGGACGTCTCATCCACCTCACAGTTACTAGACCTGATCTTGCATATTTAGTTTACATTTTGAGTCAATTCATGCAAGATCCTCGCATTCCTCACATGGATGCAGCCACTAGAGTGCTTCGCAATCTCAAAGGCACACCTGGAAAAGGTATAATGCTCTCTTCCTCAACCTCACTCACTTTGAAAGGTTTTTGTGACTCTGATTGGGCAGGATGCCCCACAACTCGTCGCTCTACCACTGGTTTTTGTGTTCTCCTTTGTTCTAATCCCATCTTATGGAAAACAAAGAAGCAAACTATTGTCTCTCGCTCATCTACTGAAGCAGAGTATCGTGCCATGGCAACACTTACATCTGAATTTCAATGGCTGCAATACCTTTTGAATGACCTTGGTATCTCTCACACAGCACCCATCACTCTCTACTGTGATAACCAAGCAGCTATTCACATTGCCAAGAATCCGGTGTTTCATGAGCGCACAAAACACATTGAGCTTGATTGTCATTTCGTTCGTGAGAAAAATCAGTCCAAGTTGATTTCTCCTTGTTACATTCGATCCACTAAACAAATCGCTGACATTTTTACAAAACCTTTGGGTACGGATCAGTTTCATTGTCTCATCTGCATTCTGGGCGTTACATACACATTCCCCCTTGAGGGGGAGTATTGGAGACAATCACGGAAAGCTTGATTAAAGCAATAGACCAGCAATACAGATTTGAAAATCAAACCTGGAAATATACTTCCTTACTTGTAACTTGTACATTAGTTTGATTAGCTATAATTTTTGGATTTTTTAGCTGTCAATATTTGTCAAAATTAATTGTAGTAAAACTCCATATATAAAGGTTTTCTCAATAAGAAAGGTAGAAAATCACGTTAAACAATTTTTCAGTCTTTTCATTCCCTACCATATTTGTTTTTGCAAATACATTTTATCCCTCCATATATATATATATGTAAATCACCTCAACTCCACAACCACTAGCTCCACCACCATATTGTAACCCAGATGCACATTCAGACAATTCATCACCAATGGTGGGTGTTGGCTTTGCGGCGGCTTCTCATGAAATAGGGTTACAGAGAGAAAGAGAGGGTTAATTGGGTGTGTGGTGGATGTTGGCTATGCGGTGTAGAAGCTTAAAAATGATCTCAATTTTTTTATTTCGTTTTAACCATTCTCTAATTTTAGATCAGTTCAATAAATAAAATAAAATTCAGAGCAACAAGGATTGGTTTTGATTAGTAAGTTTTAAAATTTCAAAGGATTGAGGATTGGGTTTGATTAGAAAGTTTTAATTAGTCCATTCAAAATTAAGCATTGAATTAAGATATCATAAAGGTGGAATTGGCCAAATACAAGAGAGAGAAAGAAAATGTTATTTATGTGAGGGTATTTTAGTAAAAATTACACAACTGATAGCCCAGTTAACGGTCTGTCACTAACAAGGGAGGTCAATATTACAAGGTTTTCTTTTCAGGGAGGTCAAAGTAATTTTTGAAACCCTTATGGTAAACATCAAGGGAGGTGAGTGTAATTTACCCATTAGCCTTTGATTACAGAGGTTGTGTACTCATGGGAAAGATCAAGTGGAGGCTTTTTAGCAGGTAGTAAAAAGGGGTGGGGTTTTGCTTATGAAGGAGGGACTAAGAAGGAAAACCCTAACTTAACAGTAATTGTGAACAATCAGTGACTAGAATTTCTCATTTTTCATCTTATTGGTTTGATCTTTTTTCAAGAGAGTGTAACCTGTTGCCGAAGGGCATGGTTCCCCCGAAAGAAAGTATATAGAACAAATTCATTCGTTGGGAAGCCTTTTCTTCTTATATTATTTCTTCTAAAGTTGGGAAAGTCAATTTTTTTCCCTCTCTACATACTTATATTGAGGCACTTCTACATCCAATGTCAAGAACATGATACAAGGATGGAATGCTTTAAGAGTTCATGTTGCTTGAGCATTGGCATGATAATTGTTGAAGAATTTTTTATTTGTACTCTTTATTTTTTATGTTTTCAAGTCAGCTTTGAAGAAAATTGCTGGAAACCTTTTCTTTAATTTAGATTAGGACCGTGATTTTAGTTAGGATTGAAGTTGGATTAATGTTGATTTCATTTAGGGTCATTGTTCTTTATTGGAATAGATGGATCTACTGTTAAATTTCACATAAGTTTAGATGATTAACTCACGTGGTGTTTTCTTCACCCACTTCATTGTTATAAATAATTTCATAAAGAATGTTAATTAATCTACATGACAAGTTCTTGCTGGCAGTGATTTTCTACTAAGCCTTCCTTGCTTTCTTCCTAGTTTTGATAGGATCTTTCCCCGTGGGTTATCTATGCATTCTGCTACATCAAATCAATAGTTTTTCCATATCACCAGATAAAAAAATTCAATATTAAACTGATAATAATGAGTTCTACATTGATTTTATTGGTCTGATTTCCATGTCATCATCGCTGATCATCTCTATAGTCTATATTGATCCGTGCTGATTGTCGAGATATATGCAGGAACTGCTTTTGCATATGGACAGACCAGCAGTGGCAAGACTTTTACAATGAATGGTACTGACAATGATCCAGGAATTATTCATCAGGCTGTGAAAGACATATTTAGAAAAATTCAGATGGTACTCATTTTCATCATTATACACACTACTAGTTGGAGTAGTTATTGTTGTTGATGTAAATGTGCTTACATTCTTGGACTTCTCCAATTATCACTTTTGTTTGATATTCTCAGACAACTGACAGAGAATTCCTGATTCGAGTTTCTTACATGGAAATTTACAATGAAGAAATTAATGATCTTTTTGCAGTAGAGAACCAGAAACTGCAAATTCATGAGAGTTTTGAGGTGAGCTCTAACAGATAAAACGGACACTTCAGAGATAATTTATCCAGAATGTAACACGACACTAATATATATATTTCTAGCGTGGAATATTTGTTGCAGACCTTAGGGATGAAATTGTGAATAGTGCTGAACAAGTGCTTAAACTCATCCAATCTGGACAAGGTTTGACTTTCATCGAGTATAGACCTTAGGATTGTAGTATGTTTTTCAAGTTGAATGCTTACACTGATTTTGAAATTTTTTCTTTCAGTTAATAGGCACTTTGGTGAGACAAACATGAATATTCAAAGTAGTAGGTCTCACACTATATTTAGGATGGTATGTATGTCATGTTTGTTGGAATGCTGCTCCAACTAAAAACATTTTCTTCTTTTAAATCACATCCATGAAACATATTAATGCAATTTTTTTTCTCCATATGCAAGGAAATTGAAAGCAAGCAAAGGGATACAAGTTCTTGTAGTGATTATTCAATTTCAGATGATGCTATTCGTGTTTCTGTCTTGGTTTGTATTTTGTACAGTTCTGTTTATAACCTAATTGACAAATGGTTGCCTATGAATCCTTTTATTTTTTGTTATGACTCATTTAGATAGCATTTCAATATTAAATATTTGACTGTGCTCAAATTTTTCTTTCTGTCATCTTTCATATATGGAATAGAATTTGGTAGATTTGGCTGGGTCTGAACGGATTGCTAAAACTGGAGCAGATGGAGTTCGTTTGAAGGAAGGAAAACACATCAACAAGAGCTTAATGGTTCTTGGCAACGTGATTAACAAACTGAGTGAAGGTGAAAAACAAAGGTATTTGCCTATCACTTTAATTAACAATTATTTCTGAGAAAACAAACATATTTTAATGGATTAAATTCTAATGCAGGGGACACATTCCTTATCGTGATAGTAAGCTCACTCGCATACTTCAACCAGCTCTTGGTGGTAATGCCAAAACTTCAATAATATGCACTGTAGCACCTGAAGAGGTAGCCTGTCATATGTTTTCTATATCGTTTTTGGCATCTTAGGTGTTAAATCAAGTGCAACGGATGGTTTGATTGTAATACATTATTGATACATCTAGGTCCATGTAGAGGAAACAAAAGGAACTCTCCAGTTTGCTAGCAGAGCCAAACGCATTACCAATTGTGTTCTAGTGAATGAGGTTTGTTTTTTTTTATTCTGTTTAGTATCATTTACCAGTTTTCTCAACAATATTATGGTATTTGACTTTGTTAGAATATTTGAGTGGCGAGTTTACCAGTTTAAAGGTATCATTTACCAGTTTACCAAAGTCAAACATGTTCTCTACCAGTTTACCAAAGGATTATTTAAAGGTATCATTTACTAGTTCACCAAATGCATTACCAGAAGTCTGAAGATTTGAATGGAGAGTTTGGTTTAAGTCTGTGTCAAGAGGTAAATAGATGATTCTTGAGTGTGAATCTGGCAACCAGGTTGTAAAACTTTTTTCTTGTATAGTGGATTATTCATGGTTGGACGAGGTTTCATGGTTTGTCCCTATATAGGATTTGCTCTATTTTATGTACTGCTTTTAGGGATGTATACGGTTCAGTTTAGAGGCAAACTAGAAACAAACCAATCATAACAGTTCAGTTGGAAGCAAATCGAACCAAGAAAACCACTTAAACCGAACCGATCTGAATCATTGAAGAACTGTTTGGATCAGTTTGGTTTTACAGCTAGGCCTACCTAAGAACATAGTCTAATATTAATTATGTTTAGTTTAAATCAAGCCTTTTTCAATCCAATTTTTGTGACTTATATAAATTTTCCTCTATACCCACTTGTGAGTGTATTTCTGGTTTCTAAAATCATATAGTAATGTAGAAATAATGTAAATATGCTAACAAGAAATAGAATATATTTTTGTTAATATACTTCTACAAAAGAGTGTTAAGGTTTAAAAAAGGTGTATGTATAACCTTTGTTTTAATGTGATGCAAGCTTATGTTAACAAAATATTACCAACCAATAAAATGATACCAAATATATAATTATATATGTACAAATATCACGGCTCGATTTGGATTGGTTCAGTTTTCTTTACCTCTAAACTGTGAACGGAACTGATCCTAATGTGTCTGCTACTTTTGAAACTGGAACCAAACCGTTGAGTTACGAAACCGAACTCAACCACATGTTTTGGATTGTTTCAAATCGGATTGACCTTTTGAACAATTCTGTGTGCATGCCTAACTGCTTTGTGTTTGTGTGAATGTTTTGATACACACAATAATCCTAATTAATATTGAAAATGCCAACATCTCACCAAATCCAAATGGTCTCTAAAAACTTTTGAGGTATTAATATTGGAACTTCCATTCTCCAAGTTATGCAGTTGAGGTATCTTGTCTTGGTATTTTCTTTATTTTTAAATTTTAAATGTTTCAGAATGCATTCATTTGACGTTAGGCGTGAAGAACTCTGTGTCCAAGCCTCAAAGTATACGGCTCAAACCTCATGTTCTTGATAAAAACTCATGAAATATGGGAATATGAAAAATAAGTTGTTGGAATGGGTTTTTAAAGGCTAAAAAAGCTGATCATTCTCTGAGTTGTTCTTTGGAAGCCTTCATCATCTAAATGTTTATGTCTTTGGAACTAGCGACAAAATGTCACGGGTTCAAATCCTGTCATCCCTACCACTTCCTTGTATAGCCTCCGTTTTGCTGCAACTAATTGTACAGAAATGACTAGTCATCTTACTTAGAGCAAATAATGATTTTTTTGGACTTGATTCCTTGCTTCTTTCTTTTTCTTCTTATTCTTCTTCATTTATTTATTATTTATTATTTTTTCAGTTTGGTTATAGTTGTATAAATTGCAGATCTTGGCAGATGCGGTCTTATTGAAGCGACAGAAACTAGAGATAGAGGAACTGCGTCATAAACTTCAGGTGATGATCATATTGCCTTTTATTCTACAGCAAAGAGGCGAAGAGCCAATTAAATGAGGTAAATTTGTTGTTTAGGGATCTCATGTAGAGCTTTTGGAGCAAGAGATCTTGAAGCTGCGGAATGACATGCTTAAGGTAGATTGTTCCTTTTATCTTCTTTAGAATTAGGGTCGTTATCTTGTTCTAAGCACTAGGTAATTGTTATTAGCCTTTTCTATTGCATGCATTTGTTTGCTCATTTTCCATTCATCAGTATGAAATAGAGCGTGAGAAACTTGCTATGGAAGTCGAGGAGGAGAGGAAACCACAAAAAGAGCGAGATCAATGTATTGGGGAGCAGCAGATGACAATTCATAATCTCAGTAGTCTTGTCACTTTCCCAGATTGGGATAGAAGTTCTAGCCAGGTAGAACTTGTGAATACAATGCCTATGGAATTTTTTTGACACTATCAGCATATTTATAATTTATGAACTCTTTCTGATAAAGGAGAAAGTATTAAATACCTCGGGGGTATGGTACCCGGGGCAGTGGGAGCAGTTGGATCATGGATGTGGTGGTGGGCCCCACCACATCCAAGGGCTGGGATGACCCCGGGGTACCATACCCCCGGGCTATTTAATATTTTCTCCTGCTAAAGATACTGTCTGATTAGCAATCTTTACCTATTCTAATTGTTCTGTTATTTTATGGATAAAAAAATACTTTAGATCCTCTTCAGCTGCACTTTGTAAATATGGGTTCCACATCAACACTTTATTCCAGCTATGGAAAAAGTCCTTTTCATCTTCTACTTATTTAGTGCCGTATCTTTTTTGTTTAACAGGATGATTTATTGAATTTTGGAAGCTATTGAACTATATCTGCTTCTACATCGTGTATAACATAAGTTATATAGAATTTCTACCTGATTTAGTATTTTTGCATCATAACAAAGGTAGTTGTTTGTGATGAACAATATAAAAACTTGAGACATGGTTCCAATTAAATTTACTTTGGTGAAAACTGTCCACAGTTCTAGCTTTCTTCTGACTGAAGAATAGCATCGATTGATATAAAAGTTTATTCTTGCTGCAAATTGAGAACATTGAGATGTGATCAATTATAAATGTAAAGTATGAACATTTGCCCTTGTTTTATAAATAACAGTCTGGTCCATTTGCCCTTGTTTTATAAATAACAGTCTGGTCATAATGGAAATTGTTTTGGTGCTTATTTTCCCATTAACCATTAACCGACTCATGAATTTTACTTGTTTGTTTCATTATGTCATTACATTTTTTCTATTATCTGTATTACTTGTGTGTTTGGAATCTCTTACTTATTTTGGATTATTGATGATAGAATTGTCAATTGAAAATTTGAAATGTACTGCTAGGGAGAGGAATTTGCAAGGCAAAGGAAGGAAAAAAGTTTTTACTGTCATGGGACATGCCAAGAAGATGCTTTTAGAACCCCTTGTTTTAAGGCAGTTCCAAGTGCCTTTGTAGTCAAACGGTCAAATTATTCTCGACAACCTGAGTGGAGCCCTCTTCCAGATTCGTTTAGCAATGTTGCTGATGAAGAGATGTGGCTGAAAATGAACAAAGGCTACATAGCTGATCTGGATGGACTTCACATTACTCCTGCAAGAAGAGTTCAATCTTTTCCATATGTAACTCCACTGAGTTTATTTTTTCTGAATTAGTTTCTGCTCTTAGTTTTCTCATGCTACAAGTGTCACTAGTTACCGTTAATGTTTTCATTCGTAATTCAGTCATAATAAGAATATGGTAAGTTATTTTTAAAGTTTATTTACTAATAATTTGACAATTTCGTCATATTTCCAAGTTACACATGAACAATAATGGGGAAAATCAACGGGTTAGGTTTTTTTTTTTTTTTTTTTTTTCATTTACTTGTTATGCCGTGAATCAAGAGGATGAAATTAATGTCTGCTGACGATTTTTAAATAAAAACTCTCTACTTATTATTATTATATAATGAGTTCTCCTTTTATGTTCCCAGTACAATTTTCTTGTTATTGTTGTGTTAAGAATCGAGATGTTCATGGCCTGAGTGCCATATTAATATACTTAACGATGAAATAAGGAATTGCAAATATTTTTCTGGTTTTCAATTTTGCTTGTAACATTTGGAAACAATATAAATATAATGTCATTCTCCTGTTTTGATTCTTCTTATCTTTAAAAAGATAGCAGTATTGATACTGTGAAGTATAGATCTCTAAAAGTTTATTGGCATTGACTGGACTTAACATCTTGTGGTAGATGATTTTCTAATGAAAATGTTCAAGTCGCTTTAAATTTGTATGTGTTGCTAGTATATCAATTTGTTTATATATGTTCTTATTTGACTCGTTAAAACCTTTTCCAGGGTAGCTACACTGAGGATTACATCAAAGAGGTCCAATATCTCAAGAGACAATTGGAACTTAATTTTAAAGAAAAAGATGAACTCAAGGTCAGGCTATTAATTTATTCTTCTTTTGCACATCTTGGTTACTATAAGAATTCCAAATGTATAAATTTTGATTGATTGTTTAACAAACTATCTAACCTCTTTGTGATTGAAGCCATTTTCATCCCCTATTTTTCATTTTTCTGAAAACCTCTCCTACTGTTTGTGAGTTTCACAAAAGGATTCTAAGTAGGGTTTGAAATTGAGTGGATTTGACTTGAGATCCGATCTGATCGGAAGTCCATTTTAACGGTTTTAGTCTTAATTTTGAATCCAAATTCAAAAAAAAAAAAAAAGAAAAAAAAAAAAAAAAAGAGGTTGGAAATGGTTCTTTGCTTAAAGATCTATCATAGAATCAGGTCGGATATGAACCACAGGTAATTCTTAAATGGATCGGATTTTACTATCAAAATCAAATATATTCTATTCTATTTGAATTTTGTTTAATTCGATTATGGATTCTGACACTAAAATATGAATTCACATAAATCTGCTCCATTTCGAGCCATAATTCCAAGCTTGCCACATCATCCGCCAACTCAAATTCGATGGCAACCTATGTTATGATGAATCAATATGGAATTCCATAAACTATTGTTGGCCAATTCTGCTACTTCATTAACTGCAGTTGGTGGGTGGATGCTGCCTAGAATTTCAAAGAGATACAGTTAAAAGCGTCAAGTATGTGAAACTAGATGGCACCTGTAGCTTGCTTCATTTGAGTGTTTGAAAGATAAGAGTTGTAAATCTTCCTTGCTTACATGTGTTTAATTTAATTGTATTTAATGGTCTTTGGACTTTTTGTTTTCATTTCTTACGCCTCTATTTATCAATGATTTTATCTTTCTTGCATTCACTTACACATCTTACATATATGTGTGTTTTCAGAGAAACCACACAGAACAATTACTATTGAACAGTCAATTAATGAGGGAGATATCTGAACTTCAACAAGAGGCACTACGAATCCAAGAAGTTCCTCGACAGCTGCATGAATCTGTGGCATATTGCAAAGATGTATATAAGAACGTTTTGTCAACTTTGCAGGTGAAACATGTGTAACATCATTGTCTCCCCTTCGTAAAGCTTCCTTGTGGTTCACATACCTTTTGAGCTAATGTGCATGAACCCGTAGATTCGTGCTTTTAGCTTTTAATTTCCATATTAAATATTTTCGAGAAATAGAAAGTCAATTTTTCTCCCATAGAATTGAGCTAGTACTTGTTACTAATGATATGGAGAGGAGCCAAATATCAGTCTGGCATTCTGATTTATTGATTATTTTAGAAGCCTGCAGTTTTATCGTTTTTGGAATACTACTTTACTTGCTGGCATATGCATTCTATTTTTGTTCCGCATAAAAATCAGTATTATTAAATTTTTTTTTTTTTTTTTTTAGTAAATCTCTGTGATTAAATGTTGTTGTAATCAAATCTAGTCAAATTAACTGGTTGGCAGATATAGTTTAGGTTATTGTTTTTGTGTCTTCTGTCTAATTTTGAAGCTTGGTAAAAGATTTTGGCATAGAATCATACTTTATCTATTCATAGCAATGTTTTCCATTATTTATTATTATATATATTTTTTTGGGATTGTAGTCTCCTCACCTGAGATTGGATTTGAACACGTTTGAAATACTAAACCATGTCAAGAATACTTTGGACCACATATTTATTAATTTACAGTGTTGTCACTGGTTCTCTCATGTCATATGGTTTTCTTCATACAAATTCTAAGAGAGCAATTTTAAAGAGTTGCTATTTCCAGAAGCTATCAATGAGTTTTAGGACACTAAGAAGGATGGTTTATAAGTCTAAGATGTTGGATTTTTAGGAAATATTCTTCTACTCACATTAAAAATCTATATTTCTTGATGGAAGCACAGCCTCCTTACTTGCAAGTGTTTTGTTGAGTTGTTTTAAGTGTCTAAAAAGAAAAATGAAGGGTTGGATTTTCACTGGGGTGTTAGAAATGGTAACATTTTTATGTGTTTTTTGGGAATACTCATAATTTACCTGAAATGTTTGGTATCATGTATCAGATGTAGCGTTTGTTACACCCACTATAACGTGACTTGTAGGTGTCATTGCTTTGTGTACTGCTAGAACGCTCTGGCTATCAAACATTGAGTTTGTTAATTTCAATCCTTTTTCTACAAATAATGTGAAATGTTACATTCGTATTCAGTTCACTAACAAATTCAACAAAGCTCACTTTGTAAAAGTAATGTCAAATGTTAGGTATCTCTATTTAGTTCACTCTTTCAATTGATGAGATCACACTGGTTAATAACCCATTATGACTTGACAGAATTGAAAAAACGTTTCAAATTCAAAGTAAATAGTCTGAAACCCAATGGGTTGAAGGCAACGAGATTGATGGAAATGTTTGAACAAGTAGGCATTGACCAACTATGGCTACCATTCTCTCTCTCTTTAAAGATCTTCTCAGAACCAAGCATTGAATAGAACGATCAAAGTATGACTTTCGAATGTCACTCTCTACTCGTCTGCACCAATTAAAATCAAATCACGCCAAGACAATTTATTGCATTAAACTGTTTACCTTCATTGGTTGCTTTGGTTTAACTAAATTGCTTTTTTTGTTCATCTACTACACACAATGATTATTATGTGTCATACTTCATAATTAAAAATACTTTACAATTTTTGATCTGGTGGATGATTTCAATAACACCACACTTTAACCATGTGTTAGCAACTTGGGATGAATGGTGGTTACTTCATATTTCTTTCCTAGTCTGATGAATGAACGTGTTGCTTCATTTTAAGATGGTTTCAAAAACAAAAATTTGAAGGCAAGGATCACAATGGTATATATATATATATATATATATATATATATAATATGGTTGAAGGTCTGTAACTTTTTGTCAACGGCAGCTCTAAGTAGGGGTGCACACGGTTCCGACTAGAACCGAAACCGTTCACAACGATTCCTAAAAAATAGAACCGGAACCGTATAGTTTGGAACCGAACCGGAACCAAACCGTTTTCTACGGTTCAGTTCCGGTTTTGTTCCAATGGAACCATTAACTGTTGGTTTTTTCCTTGTTACAGTGTTGTAAAAAAAAGCCACTCAATAAATGAAGACTTTGTAGTGAGAAAGTATCCCCGCAAGCAAGATACAAGAAACAAGTAGGTGATATATAGTCAAATTCCTTCCTCCAATTAGCATTAAAAGTATCTTCCATAGAAACAAGTAGGTGATATATAGTCAAATTCCTTCCTGCTTGGAGCCTCAACAGATCTGCTAGAAGGTGACTTCAGTGAAGATTCTGGTTCTTCGTTCCCTCTCAGATTCTCAATGAATACCCTCCATGATGAATTCCAGTCAAACCTTCTCACAATCTCCTCGCATAGTTCATCAACTAGCTTCTTAGATCCAAACCTTTTCATGATGAGGACTGAAACGACGAGGAAGCTTTAGATCAGACTTGAGAGGAGGCGAGGGCGATGAGGACTGAGGAGATGAGAGGAGGCGACTCAAGCGAGGGCGATGAGAGGTTAGACTTCAGAGAAGGCAAGGGTTAGGTTAAGTTAGGGTTCATCACTTCGTCAAACCCTAAGATGAGAGATTGAGAGGAGGCGAGGACTGAGGAGTGAGGACTGAGAGTCTGAGAGCGACGAGCGTGAGAGATTTAGGGCAACAAACTATTAAACTAATTGATTTTTTTTTATGTGTCTACAGTCTTAAGGTGGCTCCAGCGACTTATCTTTAGATTCTTTACTTTTTTTATTATAAAATTATATATATACGGTTCCGGTTCTTACCGGTTCCCACAGGCTGGAACCGGAACCGGAACCATATGTCAACGGTTCCTAAATTTGAAACCGGAACCGTGAGAACCTGTAATAACAGTTCCGGTTCTCACGGTTCCGGTTCCACGGTTCCGATTCTTTTGTGCACCCCTAGCTCTGAATATATTCAGAAGAGAGGGAAGGTGAAAGACATTTATCACGTCTAATAAAAAAGCTTGAGAAACGTGAAAAATGGAATGTGAGATTTTTGGCCTATGCAAAATATTTTTGTCAGAATATTACAAAAATATTTAATTTTACTATCGAATGGAATAGCCATTCCATAGGTTTAGTAATGGAATAGATTTTCATTCCCTGGTATGGATTTTCATTCCATTGGAATGGTCATTCCTCCATTCCATTCCTGCACACCAAACGTAACATAACAAAAATGCCAAACATTAACAATCATGGAGGGTCATTCAGATTTTGGTAGGCAAGTAGCCAACTTACATCCTAAATTTTAAAACCACAAAACAAATCATGCGGCCAAAGTTTAAAACCAAAAAACAAATCATGCAGACCCAAAGTAGACAACATCACACCGTGCGGTAGAGTGATAGTGTTATGCCCATGTCAGGGATCAACCAATACAAATTACATTCTGATGGTTGATCAACTCCTGAGCTACTCTTGTTTGTTTTTTTTTTTTTCTTCCTTGTTACCTAAACCACATAAAAAATAATCATGTTTATAGAAAGACGAGGAATGTGAACCCAATTTAGGATCACATTTGTACATCCATTGGTCATAAAAATATAAATAAATAAAAAAAATACTTGGTCATTTGTTTGACAATCAATAATTATTTCTCGTTTAAGCAGTTTATACAAAAAGTCAGATTATCCATGTCTCTCATAAAACACACATATATGTACATATATCCAGAGTGCATGTGTGCAAAGCAAAAGTACCTTTTGATTTCCCCTGTTTTACACACCACAATATTGCACCTTTTAGGGCTAGATAATGCCCCTTTTGATTTCTCTTGCAAAAACAACAAGTATGGAAAACCCAACTACTCAAATACGAGAGGCACAAAAGACTATAATCCACTAAAATACTGTATATATTAGTTACAGATTTTCATCACTTGTTTTTGGAAAAATGCCCCTTTTCTAGAAAGGCATCACCAGTTCAGACTTAAGCTTGCCAGAGCATATACCCGTAAAAAGGCCAAAAAGATAACTCACCCGGCACATATTCCATTCTTTTCTTCAGCAAAAGATAACACTCAAACCCCCAACTTTCGGCAAAACTGCAACGGCTTTTGGAAACTATTCAAATCTATCGTTCCAAAGCAAACTTACGTAAGAATTCAATTAATGATCTTCATAGGTCATATACTTCATGAAACATGAATTTGTATAAATGATCTGAAATATAAAATAGATGTTTTTAGCAGGAACAACCTAAAGCAGATGTTAAATGCAGTCAATTTTTCAGATGTTCATGAAGCTTACCCATCAAAACTTCCTTCAAAGAGTGAAGATCAAACGAGATGCCTCACTGTACACATAGGTCTGTACCAAAAATCATGTACCCATACACCAAGTAAATCTAGGTTTAGATAAAGTTTAAAACAGAACTAATACATCCATTCGTTTTAATCAATATTTCAATTGTCATAACAAGCACTTTCTAGACTCTAAAAACAACTTTGTTTCACTTACGGTTATCAATAGATATATAAAAGAATTTGAGCCCATCTCCATCACATAGTTGCTAAGAAACTAAATTCACAGTGAGATTAATTTTGCAATTTCCAGAATTCATTTGACAAATTACACCTGACATTGTTAAAATAATGAAACTACTGTTTGACAAACTGAAGATTCCCCATAATATGTTAAAAGATTTATTTATTTATTTATTTCACCGTTGTTACAATGGTGAGAATTCACTTCTAAGTTCATAGATCAACCTCCAGTCAGCCTCCACCAAAATTGGTGAACTTGATAGCACCTAAGCGAACACGACCAGCACTCCTATACATCATCTCCAACACAGGAACAAGCAATACTACCCAGACAATTTTACCATGGAAAATCTCATCTTGCAGTAAAACATCCTCTCCACAAAAGAACAAAATTACTTAACCCCAGATATGATTCTTGTGTACAAATTATGGTTAGTGTCAAAAAATAAAAAAATAAAAATACAGGAAAACTATGACGACATCCAGCAAATATAGTTGACTAAGCTGTGAAAGTACTTATGTTTTGCAAATGAATAAATGCCACTGATCTACAAAGATAGGATAACAAGAACTACCAGATTTCGCCATCCTCACCGAGCTCCCCATCTTCAAGCTCCTCATAACCACCATTTCTACGCGAACCATCCCGGTGTTCTCTCTTGTGTCTTTTTTGCCTGCTTTCACTATCTGATTCAGGCGTATATGCATGCTGGCAAAGAACATAAAGAATAGTTAAAATCCTTATGAACTCATCCTAAGCAAGATTACAAAATAACATTGTAAGAGATATAGCAAAGAAATCACCTTTCTTGATTTTTTACGATCGCTGTTATGTCGGCGTGACTTCTTGGACTCATCTTTCTCATCCTTATCAGAACTGAGATCATCCATGGCACTCTGATGGCGCTTCCGATGCTTTTTATCTTTGTCTTTTTCCCTTTTTCTATCCTCTCTATGGGAAACACTGTCGGTAACATCTACATTTTCACTCTCTTTTTCATCCTTCTTAGACCGTTCCTTCCCCTTCTCCTTTTCTCTTTCACGTTCTTTTTCTTTCTCTCTCTCTTTTTCTTTTCTTTCCTTCTCCTTCCTCTTCTCTTTCTCCTCTCTCTCTTTCTCCTTTTTTGCCTGCAAAGACAGAATGAGGGGGGTAGGATTCCAAGAATGAAAAACTTAAATCATATAACAAACTCCATCCATACAAATCCAAAGGAGACATATTCATAATCAAGGATTTTCCAAATCAGAGTATGAGAAGAGCAATAGTCCAACAGCTCAGAACTTATGGTAAGGTTTTTTTAGAAGGCAATAAACAAAAACACGCAAACATATTGGGCCTGCTTGGATCTCTTCTCTATTTTTAGTTTTCAAGAGTTTTTGGAGAACAAGAATAGAGAACAGTTTTCATTTTTTGAGAATGAAAACCGCTTGGTTAGGGAAATTACAAAACAATTCTCACAGAACAAAAACTCAGCAATTTGTTTGGTAGTGTCTATTGAAAAACAGTTTTCAAAATTAATTTTTTTTACTAACTACATTTAATTATTTTTCCATTATCAATACAATACATTTTATTTAGGAATGCGTATATAATACGAGACCGCCATGGAGGGACTCATCTAGGGAGGACAGGCACACATGGCTTTAAATGAATTTGAACCTTTTTCAAAGACTTACCTAAACTCAACAAAAACATGGAGAGGCTTGCAATTAACCAAGCTCTGGCAAAGTGCTAAAAGCTTCTTGTTAACCGAAGAATGAAGAGGCATGCAATGTTTACAATTAACTTCCTATGTTTGACGTTAGCTAACTGATGGTCTTCTTTATTGAGGATAAGATAGTTTACAATCAAGAACCAGAGCAATTTGTAGATATTGGACTTTGATATAATTGTTTCTGCATTAAAACCCTCATTGCATAACATAAAAAATTGTGGATTCAAACTGCTACAGTGATCAGGTTTGCATAGAACAAACATTATACAAAGTTGAAAGAATCATCAACAGATCTACTGTAGAAACTTCAACACGTACGATGAAATATGCATATATTGATTGGAATTGCAAGCTTCTGAGGTAGGAAAATATACATCTGATGGTGTTTCTGAAATGTAAAGTTCAAGTGAGGGCCTATGTAATTATGCTATCTATTCGGAGTGGGATAGGTTTAATGCATACTCATCCCAGCGCCGAACCAGGTTCAACTTACGCATTTTAATCCCATACCCACCCCTAACCTGTCTCGGGGTGGGACAGGTTTAATGCATGCCCATCCCCACCCCAAACCAAGCTCGGGTTATGCAATTTAATCCCATTACAGATGGACAATCGACGAGACGCACTGTTAACATTAGAACAGAGGCTAACGGAATGCGTGTATTCCATTTTACAAACCCGTAGAGAGAATTAAAATTTTTCCGAAAGATTCCAACTAAATAAGAATGTATTCTGGGATGTATCAAAAAAATCAGTAAAATGAAGCTTGCAGGAAATCTGTTTTAAAAATTCGAAGACAACAAAACAAAGAGGATTGTGGGGAAAATGCTAATGAAAAAACTTGATGTTTTTACATTCTTTTTCAGCCATATTGGAGGAACAGACACAATTACAGTAAAAATTTAGGCATGTATGCACGATTGGTTACCTTTTCCTCCTCTCGCTTGCGTTCCTTCTCTTTTGCCTTTTCTTGTAAATGTGCAATGTATTCCTCAAAGATCTCCCTGCGAAAACTCTCTTCCCCAATTGATCTATCACAAGTGAATCACAGGGAAAAATTATATGTTGTATTTCAGAACAATGAGCGTTACAATATCGGTTTCCCAATAATTAAAATGGAATATGCCTTGTGCAAGAAAACAGGCGAATGCTACCTGTACTCTGAGCTTTCCTCAAAAAGTTGCTTGCTTTCCTCCCAATTAGAAGATGCAGTAATTTCCTATTTGGGTAGAATAACACAGAAAGTTAGGATGGTCAGTGAACGGGACAAACCATAGAAGAATAGGAATTTACAATACTTCATAACAGCATTTCAATACCTTGAAGGTGGACAATAGATCAGTGAAGTCTTGAGCAAGCCGTTCACGCTTTTTAGCTTCTTTCTCTTCTTTCTCCATGGCTCTCTCAACCAGATCCTCAAATACAAGCTGCAAACAAGTAGACCAACATCAAATTCAGGACTAGAAAAGTAACACTTGAAGTCTTACAGAACATAAATATTCATCATATAAAGGGAATTTCTATTATGAAGGCCAAGAATCAAAGAAAGAAAAATATGAAAATAAGTTAAAAGGTCAAAAGGTTCAAGCATAAAAAAATACCACACTCCAATAGAGGTGTGACACAAGGTTTGTTTGATCAAAGTTGAGAAAGAAGATTATAGCTTCTTTCTCCAATAGAGGCTTCCAATACGGCTGCTAATAGATGTTTCACAACTCCAAAGATACTACAGATACCATGAAAATACAAAGAATGTTACATTTCTAATGGGTAGGGAAACATTTGTTCATTCGATCATCCAGTAAGAACTTCAAATTATTTTAGGATAATTATGACTTCATAATAGTACTGTATTTATTGATTCTTAAAAAAATTCAAATTTTGTGAACTATTAGTTTAATAGCTGAACGTATCATCTGGGTGGATAACACTTGGCATCATGCCGACATAGTGACTCATATAATTAATAAATTATGGATCCTATTAAGATCAGAATCCATGGAAAGGTGGTGGTGGTGATGGAAAAAAGCAATAGAGAATTCTCTTTGTTTTCTCTGTAATTTTGTTACGAAAACTAAATTAATCTCGAGATACATTGGAGGAGCATTGCATGTCAGCCCTATTGTCAGGGGCTTACTTGTTATTACTTATATAATGTTGGGGCTTATGTGTAATTTTTGAAATTTGTTATTATAAATAGAATGTGGTGGAAGGATGAAAGTATTTTTTCATTCTTTCTATCTTATCCATCTCTCTCTCTCTCATCCACTTTCTTCTCTTTTTCTTCTTCTTTATCACTTACTCTTGATTTGATTGTATCTTAACAAGAACGCCCCCTTCCTTTACCTATTCCCATTTAGGGGGAGCTTCTTACTGAGGTGCCCATGTCTAGTCCTCCTAACACTAATGATTTGCAGCAGGGAAAACAGCCAATTGTCTACACTTGGAGGGCAAAACAAGTTATTGACTCAACTCAGGACCAAGAAGTCTCCCTCTATCTAGGTGATTCCTTAGTTGACATTGATACTCCTGATTCTTTTCCCAATAGCATTCTTGTTGATCTTGATGTCCATATTGCCCATCGTAAGGGTGTTCGTAGTTGGACAAAGCATCCCATATCTCAGTTCATATCCTATGACGTCTTATCTCCAACATATTGTGCTTTCACGTCGTGTATCTCCTCTGTATTTGTTCCTTCTAGTGTTTCAGATGCTCTCAGTCAAACTCCATGGAAGAAAGCTATGCTAGAAGAAATGATGGCCCTTGAGAAGAATGGTACTTGGGATATTGTTCCATTACCTAGAGGTAAGAAACCAGTAGGCTGCAAATGGGTCTACACAATTAAGTATCATTCGGACGAAACAATTGAGAGATATAAAGCTCGGTTAGTTGCAAAGGGCTTCACTCAGACCTATGGAATTGATTATCTGGAAACATTTGCTCCAGTTGCCAAGATGAACTCTAAACGTGTTCTTCTTTCTATGGCAACTAATTTGAATTGGCCCTTATATCAACTTGATGTAAAGAATGCTTTCCTTCATGGTGACTTGGAGGAAGAGGTGTATATAACTATGCCACTAGGGTTTTAATCTTGTCAATGGTCAGAATTTAGTGTGCAAGCTAAATAAAGCCTTGTATGGGTATAAGCAGTCACCACATGCTTGGTTTGAGAGGTTCAGCACTGTTGTGAAAAGAGTAGGGTACACATAGAGTCGGGCAGATCAAACTCTCTTCATCAAAAAGCACCAGGGCTGCACTACTGCCATTATTGTATATGTTGATGATTTTGTTATCACTGGAAATGATCCAAAAGAGATTCGTCGAATGAAGTCATTATTGGGGACAGAGTTCAAGGTTAAAGACCTCGGATCATTGAGATACTTTCTTGGCATCGAGGTGTGCAGATCGAAGAAAGGGGTGTTCATTTATTAGCTGAAACAGGCAGGCTTGGAGCTAGACCTATTGATATTCCCATTAGGCTTAATGATGTAGATAGAGACCCATTAGATGATGTAGGAAGATTTCAACGATTGGTTGAAAGACTGATTTACTTATACTCCTCGCGCCCGGATATTGCCTACGTTGTTAGTGTGATTAGTCAGTTTATGCATGCTCCACGTACACCTCACCTTGAGGCATCTCATCATGTTCTTCACTACCTCAAGGGTTCACCTGGTAAGGAGATATTGTTTGGCAGTCATGGCCATTTGCGTGTTGAAGCCTATACTGATGCTGATTGGGTAGGGTTTGTGACAGATCAACGATCTACTTCAGGATATTGCACATTTGTTGGTGGTAATCTTGTTTAATGGCGAAGCAAGAAACAATTTGTAGTAGCTAGATCTAGTGCAGAGGCTAAGTTCAGATCCATGGCACATGGAGTTTGTGAGTTGTTATGGATACGTACAACGTTGGGTGAGTTGGGTTATCCTGTTTGCGAGTCAATGAAGTTGTATTGTGACAACAGGGCTGCTATTAACATTGCCCACAATCCAGTTCAACATGACAGGACAAAGCACATTGAAGTCGATCGACACTTCATCAAGGAAAAGCTTTGTCTTGGGCTGATTTGTACTTCATACGTCAATACACATGATCAAGTTGCTGATGTTTTGACTAAGGGTGTGAGCAAGACTTGCTTGCAAACTATGTTAGTCAAGTTAGGCATGATAGATATTTTTGCACCAGCTTGAGGGGGAGTGTTGTCAGGGGCTTATTTGTTATTACTTATATAATGTTGGGGCTTATGTGTAATTTTTGAAACTTGTTATTATAAATAGAATGTGGTGGAAGGATGAAAGTATTCTTTCATTCTTTCTCTCTTTCCCCATCTCTCTCTTTTTCTCTCATCTGCTTTCTTCTCTTTTTTTTTTTTTTTCTTCTTTATCACTTACTCTTGATTTGATTATATCTTAAAGCCAACAAGCCCTTTGATTAAATTAACATTAATATAATAATATGTTAGTAAAAATAAACTACAAAAAATGATGAAAAAAAATCCATTTACAGGATTTCAAGCACAATTTGAATTTACTGGAGATGGAAACCCCTTAACAATAAGACACGGACATGGGGTTGTACAAGACATGGACATAGCTCCTTTGGTGCAGAAATGCAAAATAACTGAAATGACACAATCATGTTGATATATCCTCGATCCTTAATATATGAGCCTAATGTTACTTAGTATGAAGCACGGATGCTTTGACAAGAGTGACGTATACCAGTGTTATCAAAGAACCAAGGCACACTAAGGAGCTAGTGGTCCTTTGGAGTCTAGGCGCAAGGCGAGGCGCACAATTGAAAAATTAACTAACTATGAAAGCATATTCATATTTCATATTAAAGGCGCCAATGTTGTCAACGGCGCACCTGGACACAAAATAGGCCCGAGTGTTGCTCCTATATGAGCCTGGAGTGTAGTGCGCACCTGGACACACAACAGGTGCAAGTGTTGTGCATGTAGAGACTGGAACCTAGGCGTGTGCCTTTAACTTAACAACACTGACGTACACATATCGTGTCCATATCGAATACCTCAGATACATGCCCGATAGTCCCTAAATGTATCCATAAGCGCTAGTTCAACCAGAGAATTGATGGAACCCATTGGTCCATCCATGGTGACCTTAAGATGTTTTTGTTCTCTCCTTTTTCAAGCATGCATAAACTTTAAGGTTCCAAACTTCCGATCCCCATCATATTGTTCCCAAGTTCCAAATTATACATTAAAATACAGATCAACCAGGCTTATGGTTCAGTGATTACAAAGGGGGGTCAGCTTTCTAGGTCCAAGGTGTAAACTCCTTCACATGGAGAAAACACAACTTTTAAGAGATTGTCACTTTTTAGGATCTTGATTAAATTCTATAACAGATATTCCTCGAGCTTCAACTTAAAATATGTATAAGAAACCATCAATTATAAACTGTAAAGTGCATACTTTTAAGTTGACATCTGATATTGGTGGCAAACCAATGTCATCCAGTATGGCAGCTTTAAAGTCACCCAACGTCCATGTTGATGTGATAATAATCTGGCAAAAAAAAGGGATAAGGAAAAATGAAATGATATCAAATCAACATCTAGGTGATTGAGATAGACTTAAAAACAAAACGCATATGAGATCATGCCTTTCCCAACTTTACAGCATCTTTTATACGATTTTTGTCTTCATGATACTGCCAAATAAACAAAAAGAAAATTAGGAGTAGTGCATACAACAAATAGAATATATGTTCTTAACCACTTCAGGCAAAAAGCTAGCATAAAGGAAATTAACAAATTTCTGAAAGATGCAGTATATTCTACCACTCATGCTATTTGAATTAGTGAAAAAATTAAAAAAGAAAAAAGAATTGATTCATTTTGCGCCCAAGTCATGGTCATAGAAACCATCAATAAACTAAAGAAACTGCATAATAAAATATTAAACGACATTTCAAATTATTCCCTAGAACTGAATTTATGAACTAGAGAACGAAAGCACTAGGGCAGTGCCGCGAGTCAGTCAGACCAACTTAAAAAGGTGTCACCTAGAATTGCATAGGTTGCGTACACAGAACATTAATGTGAAAATGATACACCGTGCTTTCTAAAACGCAGTACAGAAGGGGTAGCTTTAAATAAATTACATAATTGGAATGTGCTGAGACCACCTACATGTGAGAATGACATTAGCCTTATACTAAGTACATAATAGGAATGTGGTGAGACCTACATGTGAGAATGACATTCTTTTATATATAATCTTATGGAATATGTCGTTCCTGCTCGCTAGGGCATTACAACTTCTGGTTACTCTAGGTCAAATCAAAAGAGGCAAACAGAAACAAAAAAGCATGTACAGTGGCTAAATGTATTCATCAACCTAACACCAAAAAGGCTTTTGACCATAAACGAAACAAAAAGGACCAAGATAGCTTAATTGATATCCCGTCATCCAAAATCAGTGCATAAGTGACTTTCAAACTAAATCATTCTAAAACTTCCAACTGCAAGAAAAATACTCTGGTCCCCAGTGTATTTTAAAAAAAAAAATTTAGCACCGAGTTCAATTACATTATTATCGTGTCATGGTGATAAAGCAGGGAACATGTCAGTTAATAACAGTAAGGAACAAAATAAAGGATGCTTCATAATCCAGATATTGTGCTGGTGGAGCATAATTACCTGTTTCTCTAATTCTTCAACAACATCATCAAACATATCTTTAGGCGTAGAACCAGATGTGTTTGATGAAACATCCTCATATGGCACAGAATCCTTTACCTAAAATCCATAGACAAAAAGATTAACTAAATTATATTTGAATTCTACATGTAATACCAAGACAACCATTCTGGTTGCCCCACAACTACAATTAACTTGGTTAACTACCTTCATAAAATAATCACGCCAGTGAGTTTTAGCCGTTAGAGTGCCTGCAGCAATATGTTCTTCCATCATCTTACGAAACTCATCACGGATTTTCCGCTCAGCCCGCTTCAATTGTTCCTTTAATTTCAAAACAGAATATTAAAAAGGCAAACCAGATCAAACATAATTATCAATAAAACAGTTTGCTATAACCACCTTCTGTATCTTCCTCTGTTCTTCTTCTTCCTTCTCCAAGTCGCGAATATATTCCTGCCACAAAAACAAGTATCAACCTAATGTTCTATCTGACATGATCAATCATAAATAATTTAACCTACCGTGAAAATATCCAAGCGATCATATTTGTCAAGACGTGAGCACCTTTCATCATCTTCCAAGCGATCCTGAACTTTCCGCCATTGGCTATTCACCTACAGACAACATAAAAACAATATATAGGGAATCCAATTTTTTGAAAGAATATTACAAATTTGTTAAAAAAATATATTAAAAAATATATATAATAATAATAATAATAATAAAAATAAAAATAAATAAAAAAAACAGGGGCATTAGAAAGATTTACCTTAATAAAACCACAACTTTCCAGAAATTGCCTGTATTCTAATCTATTCCGCCGGTATTCCTCCTGAGCCTTTGCCTTTTCCTGCAGTCAGATCCAATAGTGTAAGCAGCAAAAACAGGAACGATACAGCCCACTGGATTAAATACCAAAAAGGCTGGCTCACAAAACAGAAGGGTAAAACTCACAGTAACTAGAAAAAAATCCAAAAAATAAGTAAATAAATAAAGGAAATAAATTGCAGAAACAGTATAGCCAACATGACTCCAAGCTAAACAAAGCTGAATGACATGTTTTGTTCATCATCCACATCATTTACAGTCTACTTTTCTTCATTTGAAATATATGCCAACATTATAAATGACATATTTGTAATACTAGGTCTGGGAAAAAATATATATATCAATAATATTGCATTAATAAAAAATTTGAAATTACACTGGTCTTCGATTAAACAACAAAAAGCCAAAAAGAAAAAAAGAAACTGACTGATCTAAAAATAATCAAGACTATAAAATCTACATATGCATCCCTGTTTGCATTTCCATTAAAACAGCATGTGCTGACCTTTTTCTGAAGATCCACCAAGTAAGTTCTGAAGAGATCCTCACGCTCTGAATTTCGCTCAACAGCATTGAACCGTTCATCATTTTCAAACATACTAATAGCTTTGCTGATTATGCAGGAAACTTAATTAGAAAATCTAAACATTTAGCACGTTCTCTCAAAATGAACTTTCAACAAGGGACTACTACAACCAAAAACTTCACTATACCTCCATCTTGTGGATGATGTGAGTTCCTCCGACTCCTAGTAGGATACCAAAAGCCAATACAAGAATCAATATAAATAAATCAAGAACATGAAAAAGAAAATCCATGATACCAACACCATCACCAATAAATAAATGAATAATGAAAAGGATATGCATCGCACTTCCAACATCTTTGTAAATTCTTCGCGTGCTTTCCTCTGCCTCAAGCGCCTTTCCTCAGCCTCCAATTTTTTCCTTTGGCCCAAGTACTTTAGCATAATAGATAAAACAAATCAAAATGGGAAAGAAATCAGTACACCACTTCACATATAAAGAATTATGCAGAAACGAAAGGCAAATCACTCATTTCAAAGTGTTCAGTGACTAAAAATCCATTGATGCATGCCAGAAAGTCCATGTAAAGCCATTGGAATGTTTCCTGTAATGAATACCTCGTTAAATGCCTGTTTTCGCTCCCCGAGAGTTTTCAGGGCGGCATATCTTTTGTCAGTAATAATCACTCGCATTGTCTGAAATCACAATTCAGTATTAACAATAAGCTCTTGAGAATGGTATAAAGTTTATAAGAATAAGCAAGATATGACCAAGCCACCTGCTCCCAAGTCCAGTCAGACTCGACATTTGTAGATTCTAGTAGTGCTTTAAATGCATTCTTTGCCTCCTAAACAAAAGAGAAGTAAAAATAAATAAAAATTAGAACTAAGAAGAAAAAAGAGTAGTTACGAGATGATTATTGCGACGTCATGGCTTCCCGGATCAGAGAAGGTTAAATGAACATGCCACATTCTAGGTAAGTACCTGCTTGGTGGCATACACCAAAGGTTCATCATCAACTGTTTTCTCCTCCATTGGTGTCACATTGATTTTCCCAGCAACAGCCATGCCCTTCTTCGCTTCCTGACAGCAACCACAAAGACGGGTCAAACAGAGCATGTTAGTACTATCTGTTTTTATATTTGCATGCCTCCTTTTGAATAAAGAGAGGTCTGTGTTCGGGAAATGGGCCAGCCAAAACTTATAAAAGTTTTGCTTTAAAGAGCAGTATTTTATGGAGAGGAAAAAATAAAGGGGGGGAAAACTTATTAACGAGCTTTCTTGTTAGTATGCTAAAAGTGAGCCAATTAAAGCCATCTTTGAAATAGGGTGGACCAAAAAACTATTCAAGCACAACATAAAGAACTAATCATACCTCAATATCCTGCATAGAAGCTCCATCTAATGAATTTGCAGAATCATGAGACGATATATTTTCAAAGCTGCTCCTGCAATTTTTAAGTATACATGAGGAGAGCACTCAAACCATCTAATTGTACACACAACAGCCAGTTAATAATACAGCAACTAAAGAAGTTCATACATTGGTGTCGTGTTGACGCCAACTAAAGCAGCAGGAACCACAGTACTTCCTGTAACAGCAGAAGGTGAAGCATCGACAGTTATCCCAAGAGAGTTTACGCCATCTGCACTAGTTGTTGCAGCAGAATGCACAACAGGAATGTCTGATGATCCAGAAACCACTACAGGGGAAGCATTCATAGGAACAATAGGTGTAACTGGAACTGGGCTTGAAGCTACCCCAGGTATTGTCGAAGAAGTGGAGCTCACAGGAATGAGTGTAGCAGATGGCTGTTCAACTGAGGAGACTGTGTCAGAGGCTTGAGCATTAGGGGTCATATTTATTTCTGATTCAGTTCCCTGTGTAACTGGTTTTTCAGCCTGTTCTCGGGCCAGCTGCTAACGTGCATTTGGAAGTGAGAGACTAAAAGGCAAAATAAATAAATAAATAAGGTCACAGTAACAAGTGGCTAAAAACCTTCAGTTCCTCAGGAATTGTCCATTTAGATTGCTTAGTGATCTTATTGTAGTAGTACCTGCAAAAGGCAACCCAGATTATGAATATAATTTAACATCTGATGCACCAGAAAAAGATCCCAACATCAATTATTTTAACCATACAAATACATATGCATAAAAATAATTATAGTTAAACTCACTTTCTACCATCTGTTGTTGAGAACTCCTTCCAAACAGTCGATGCATCAGCCCTCTGTTAAAATACGAGAAAATTGTTGACTTTAGAGGCATAACTAAAGATGTTCAATGAGCAGTAAAATTTTTAGTAGTATTCTTATTTCCTTTTCTTTTCTTTTTTTTTGGGGGGGGGTGGTTGTGAAGTAACTAACTATCAGTAACGATCACAAAGTAAATTTACAAAACTATAAGTAGAGACATGTTCGTGACATAGAGCAAATACATATGGGAACACTAGAGAATAAAACAAAAGGCAATTAGAAAGAAAAGCTAAAGTACCTGCATCCTTGAAACTTACTTAAAGAATATTCAGGGGAAAAATCAAAATAAATATTGAAATGAGAGGTTTCACAAACCTTAAAATCATAGATAGGTATAAATGGAAATGTGTGCTTTTATTTAATCCTAAATTAGGCGCATTGACAGACACATATGTTGCGCATTGCATGGCTAAAGCATATAATAAGCATGAAATGCATAAGCAACAACAACACAAGTATTGGTCTGCGCTCAGGATCTGAGCATGCTCCAAATTTCAGCCAAAAATGTCCCTGTATATATCCAACCAAAATTAGCCCAAACACAATAATGCCCACCAGGAGAGGCAGGAGTGCGGGAGGAAAGAACCGGCCTCAAATCCCTTCTCAGCCAAAGGTGATAGTGGGAAAAAGACAACAAAATCTTTTTTTCTTTCTTCATCAGCCAACTTAAATGAAGATTAACAACACGGAAAAAATCAACCACAAAAAGGATTGAAGGGACCGAGAACAACTCATCCATGAACGACCATCTTCTAGGCAACTTCAATGTTACATATTTTTTAAGTAGAACGATTCCCAATACACTTGATAAGATTGCAGAAAAGGAAACTTATACAGAATATATAAAACTGAAACAAGATGCTTAAAACCATATTATGAAAAACAATCTGAATATACAGTCTGTCTACCAAAACCAGTGCCCAAAGGATAGCAATTCCAATCAAACTCAATAGTACTTGAACCATTGATTATCCACCATCTCTTGCAGCAGATATTTCAACAAGATGCTTGGCTCTTTCTGAACACAAAGACAGGCATGCCTCAGTCAATTCTAAAGCTTAAATGAGTGCTAGCCAGTCGAGGCCGGGATTCTAAGATACCATTACGACAGGTGGCCTTACTAAAGTCCTGTTTTCTTTATAAGAAAGGAAATTGAAGAGACTTTGAAAGAGTGAAGTTTCAGAAACTGCTAATGAACTTGTTATCAGAATGATCCCTTTTTGTCCCTCTATCATTGTCTGATTCATTGACAGTATCATTTCACCCACAATGTGATTCTCTTGAAATCCTAAAACATTATTTAGCTTTACTCGACAGTTATATACCATCAATACAAAACAAAATGAACAAGTTTGACCCACACAACACTCAGACAAAGCAGATATTGCAGGATTGTAGAAATATACAATGCACATAATATGAGCCTTCTTTAAGAGAACCAAACTCTGATTTTCATGCAGCATAGGATTCCTCCATAAGATGTAAGAAACACTAGAATGCATCAAACGAAAGTGTGGACAGACTAGAGAATTAATGCAAGAAAGCAACATATAATAAGAGCTAAGCATAAACAAAACACTAAAAGAAGTCCAATCTTCTACGGAGCAACGCCGGGATAAAAAGAAATTCACTAATCAAAAAATATTAATACCGTCCATAAGTAACACACGTAAATCTTCTAAAGACAACAAAAACTGAACAGGCTAGTTGTTAGGTGTGTCCCACATCAGATCCGAATGGGAAGTAAAATAGGTATAAATGGGTGGGTAAGCAGCACTACCTAATAGCTTAAGCTTTTGGGTCAAGGGGAAAGCGTTCACCCGTTACAGTTGATATCAGAGCCAGACTCAGTTCTTGATCCGGTGTCACGCCAAGTGCCCAAACTGAAGGAGTCCGGGTAGTCACCCCGGGTAGGAAGGGTGGCTCGATTGCAACGAGGGCGTTGCGAGTTGGGGTGGGGAAGAATGTTAGAAGTGTCCCACGTCAGATCCGAATGTGAAGTAAAATGGGTATAAATTAGTAGGGTATGCAACACTACCTAATAGTTTAACCTTTTGAGTCAGTGGGCACAAGCGCCCACCTGTTACACTAGTCCAAAAGGGTAAAGAATCAAATAATTGCTACTATAAAAACAAAGGGATCCACAATTTTACGTGCAAAAATAAAATGTAGATCAAAATACCTAAAACATAAAACAATTCACAGTAACTTATTTACTCGAACAGAGTTTACACACAGCCACTAGAAACATATAGAAGAAAAAGGTGTATCCAATATTTGCATAGGAACATAAAAACAAAGTATCCCAAATTTAAGTCCCTTGGCATTCATTCAAACATTTGAGAATGTGGTTTGTACAATGCAATCCCCGTTTTGTTCCCCTCAAACAAAAATAAATTCATTAAAGGAAAAAGAAGAAACAAAGGAGAGGGTGAGTTATTTCTCTGCAACAAAAGTTTAATGGGCAAAGCTTATTACTAAGAGAAAGCTGCAACAAAAGTTTAATGGAAAAAACTTATTACTAAGACACGAAGCAGCTAGCCCTTGACACAGACCACAAAGAGAACATAGAAAGAATTTACATTGCAATAATTGAGACTGTAGCCTAATAGGAGATCTTTCAAATCATTGGAAACTGGGACAACTGAGAAGCTATCAACCTCCAAAAGTAAATTTGTCAAGCCTAAATTACTCATTCACTCAATGGTCTTCCTTGTCACTCCAGCTTCAGTTACCATAGAGAGAAAAGGAATTGAGATCTAAGCCAAAGAAAACACAAGCTTAATAAAATGATAATTTTAAAGAATGGTTTTATAAGATCTTCCTCCCTCCCTAATTGCAGGTCAAAGTTTATCTGTCCATGACAACAGGGCAGGACAACGGCAAGCCAGGTTTTGGTCATTATCTTTCCTTGCGACTGTGCCTCGGCATTAAATGAAGACCAAAACCCTAGCTTAGTTACCAAAATCATGAAATAACAGCAGATCAAAGCTAATTCACCTATTTCTCCACCAGCAATCATATTGAGTCCTAAATACAAAGAGTTGAACAAGATTCTACACAACGAAAGCAATGCAACAAGTTTTCATATGCAGCATCATCAATGATGTGAATCCCCCGCCCCTCCCTCCACCCCATTCCCCAAATAGATAATTGAAAAAATAAAGTTCCTAGAGCCCAAAGAAAAATATCAAAGAGAGAGGGGAACGAAAAAAATAAAATACAAGAAAAGAAATTTTCCTTATACCAACCACCCATAAAGAAAACTCAGAACAACTATCACATAGGCTGGGAAAAAGATTCAACAACGATATTACATCTACAACTTCCAATTTCAAATGAAAAATGATTATAGAATAATTTGACAATGTAGCTGGCAAAAAAAAAAAAAAAAGAATTTAACAACAAAACTAAGGGACAAAAGCTCCAAAGGCGTAATTGCATCAACTAAAAAGAAAGAATACATATGACTGTGGAACCTCTCTAGAAAGAAAACCAGGAAAAAGGAAAAACAAAATCTACAGAAATACATAAAATATATATATATATATATTAAACACATAATATTAAAAGATAAATTGGAAAAAAGTTACTACAATGTGACATTACGTACAACAAACACCATTAACATGGCAATTCATACCTCTGAATATGAGTAGCACAATGAGCACCTGTATAACCGTTAAAACCATAGACATGAAGCAAGTCATGTCCCACAAACAAAAGCATGCATAGGAGGCACTATAATTAAAGAAAATTATAATCATTATAAATAAAAGCACCAAGTCAATGAATACACTCAAATGCAAGAAGATTTGTGATACTAAAACATTAGACAGTGCATGGCGGACTGTTTGCAGATAAAATTATCATAATTACTTATAAAGGCAGGGTAAAGGAAAAACTATTTTAATGAGAGAATAATTTAAGCAAAAAATGTCAATGAATGCATTCTGCAAGGTACGCAACTGCATGCTACTACACATTTATATGAATCCCTACTTCTAGTTCCTTAACTTGCAAGCAACAGAAATATGTATCCTACTACAACACATCAACCACTTCTCTCCGGGAATGAACTAAACAATTAAATGAATAAGACACGGAAGTGGCCAACTATTGCCATAAAAGAAATAAGTCAAAAGACTAACATCAACCACTTCTCTCCGGGAAGAGGGAATAAAGGAAAGAAAAGAGAAGAAAAACAATCATTACTATGTTACTACACGGCTATAATAGCATTCATCAACCAAGTTGCATGAAAAATGTCCCCACATGATAAAAAAAAATGTAAATTGCAAATTGTTGCCTGCCTTGAGAAAGTGAAACCCGCCTTCAAAGTGAGCATATAGAGCAGTCGTTAATTTCTCCTGACTTGCCATGATATCTACAAACCAGTGGAAGAACATGCAAAGAAAAGGAGAATTCGCATAAAACAATTTTGATCAAATTATTTCTTTCTGCCAAGTAACTTTGATCAATGTAAGCATGCCTATAATTGCCAACATCAATTAAGGGAAACAAAGATTATAGGAACTCCAGAGCAATCAACATGCTACACAGGTGAAAGGGCATCAAAATTTTAAAGGCAACTAGTCAGTGTGACTCACCTCAATAGGTGTCATCAATTCCAAAGGCTTCTCCCAGCTAGATTGTTTTGTTTTCTTGTTGTAATAATATCTGAATAAGTGACAGAAAAATATTCAAAATATAAAATTAAAGAAAGAATTGACAAAGAGATTCAGGAATCACGTAAGTACAAAAATTGTGAGTTTTTACTTCTTTACCCTTTTTCTCTCAAATAAGGCGATTTAGGGTTTTTAAGGTAGGTGGCTGGGACGACGATCACAGGGATGGAGGAGGGCCAGTCCTCCTCCCCTCTTCAGCCGGTGGGATCTCCAAACCAGAATACAAGTCCTCCTACCCCTTGGTGTCAGTTTTTCTCTGAAACGGCATCGGATTTCCAGAATCCCAAGTTTCACAGTAACGTGCGTGGGAAGAAAGTTTCTATTTCAGAAGAAGATGTGGCCGAAGAAATCCAGTACTGGTCATCGTCTGTAGTTGGTTATGTGATGGAAAAGAAGCCATATTATCAGTACTTCAAAACTTTTGTTGAGAAGAGATGGTCCAAGAATTTTAAATTGGTATACTTAAAGGATGGTTTCTTTCTGGTTCGATTTCATGATGATACTGATGTTATGAAGGTGTTATCCCGTATTCATAAATTTGAGGGAAGACCTATAATCCTTAAAAGATGGAGTAAGAATGTTAACCTAGTAAAAGAGGTTTTGGAATCAGTCCCGATGTGGATGAAGATATATGATATCCCCGTTCACTGCAGGAAGGCTCAAGTGGTGTCTATGATTTGCTCCTCCTTTGCCAAACCGATCTATATGGATGATTCCGAATCAAATATAGACAAAGGAAGGTATTTACGTGTAATGGTTGAGGTGGATGTGAAGGAAGCATTGCCGGACTCAATGGTAGTGGACATTCATGGGGTTGACTGTGAGCTTGAATTTGAATATGAATGGAAACCTCAGGTCTGTACTCTATGTCAATGAGTGGATCATGTACAAGAAAAGTGTCCACAAAAGGGGTACAAACGAAACCTAAGAAAGTGGTTGGAAAATGGATGGTAAAGTATCAAGGTAAAATGGTCAGTCAAGGTGAAGATGATGTGTTCGAAGAAAAGTCTCAAAGGAGTCCTTTGATTCATAAAGTTGCAGAGGAAACAATCACAACGTCAAATGCATTTCAATTATTGCAGAATACAGACCAAGAAGAAGATGTTGTGGAGGGTTTACAGTCTGAGAATGGGGCTTTGGCAAATACTACTCTTATACAAGAAGATGTAACGGAGGTTTTGCAGTTAGAACATAAGGCTGAGAGTACAACAGTTGAGGTATTCTTTACCCCAATACATTCACAAAAATTTGGGATAGAAGAAGAAGCTGTTATAGGGGCTGGCAAGATTGATTCGGTTACAAGTGCAGCAGGGGTAAACTGTGGAAATTCTAGTGATGCTACTGACTCAGATGCTAAATCAGTTGAGGGTGTTGGCCATAAGACGAATGCTGCCATTGAGGTTGCTACTGGTTGTGTTGAAGAGGGACAGCAGGATGGAAATGTGTCTTCTACCAATGTTTCAACAGATGACCAAGGTGGAGGGAAATCAAGACAGCGTAAGAAGCCAATTATTCCATCTTCGGATAGAGTGACTAGAGGTAAACTGACTGGTAGTGGTGCACTACCAACTCCTTCTCAGTAATGTTAGGAGCTTGGAATGTGTGAGGTCTTAATAGACCTCACATGCAAAAGGAAGGAAAGCATTGGCTCATTGAAAATCAGTTTGGTTTAACTGTCCTTGTGGAAACCAGAGTTAAGGAGGGAAAATATGTTAGAATACAGAAAAAAACTTGGGCTTCATTGGTCCTGGTTGGCTAATTACAACTCTAAAAATTTGGGAAGAATATGGTTTGACTGGAAAAAGGCTATGTTTAGGGTTGTGCTGATTCTAGAAGATGCCCAATCTATGTTGTTACAGGTACATCATATAGGGTCTGGAGTTGGTTTTTATGTTACTGCTATATACGCTGCAAATAGAGCTACTGATAGAAGGCACTTATGGCAATCCCTGAAAGTACAAGCTACTAAAATTCAAGGGCTTTGGATTGCTTTGGGGGATTGGAATATGGTTAGATATAATCATGAGAAGAAAAATAGACTGAGAATTCCTCAAAGCAGACTTGATGAATTTAACAGTGTTATTTGTGATATCAAGATGGAAGATATTCCTATCAAAATGGTGAGTGGTCCTGGTGTAACAAGCAGCATCTTCAAAAAAGGATTAATGCCAAGTTGGATAGGGTTTTGATAAATGATAGGTGGCTTCAACAATTTAATGATGTTAAAGTGTATTTTACTGCAGCTTCACTGTCTGATCATTATGGTCTAGCTACTAAATGGCACTTTGATTGCTCTGAAGGTCCTAAACCATTCAAATTCCTTGAGATTTGATGTGTTCAAGGGGAAGTTGATAATGTGGTTGCCAAAGCTTGGGAAATTTCAGGTTCTGGAAATCCTTTACATATTCTGCAGAAAAAATTAAGGGCAGTGAAAGATGCTGTTAAAGAATGGAATAAGACAAGAGGTTCAGTTTCTGAGCAAATCCAAGTTGCTAGGGAGGACCTACAGAAAATTCAATTGGAAATGCTACAAGGTCCAATGAATGAAGATTGTATTGCTAGAGAAAGGGAAGCTACTGGAAAATTGCAACATGTTTTGGATACTGAAGAAATATTCTGGGCTCAAAAATCCAGAAGTAAATGGCTGAAAGAGGGGGATAAATGTACGGAATTTTTTCATAATTTGGTCAAGCAAAGGAGAGGTTTCAATGCTATTACTAAGTTACAAAATTTAACTGGAGAACAATCTGAAGACCCCAAGGTAATTAGAGAGTGGTTGATTCAGTTTTACTCAGAGTTATATTCCAAGCAAGGAGAGGGGTTTCAAGAGGTTTGTCCAACTAGAAAAATCTAAACTGCAGCAGAGTGTATTTCCTTAGATTGTCCCATCACTATTGAAGAAATTAAAGGTGTGATTATGAATTTTCATCCAGATAAAGCACCTGGTCCTGATGGTTTTCCTGCCAGGTTTTTTCAGAAATATTGGGGGATTGTTGGACAAGATGTAAGTCAAGCTGTTCTTCAATTTTTTGAGCATTGTAAATTCCCTCAAGGAATTAACTCTACTTTTCTTACTCTTTTTCCAAAGGCTAATCATGTGGATAAGATTGCTAATTACAGGCCCATTACCCTTTGCAACACAGTGTATAAAATAATTTCTAAGATTCTAGCAAACAGATTAAGCACTTTGCTACCTGCTTTAATTGGTCCTGAGCAATCAGCTTTTATTAAGAATAGAAGGCTGCATGACAACATTCTTCTGGTCTCTGATTTGGTGAAGGATTTTGGCAAGAAACATGGTGATCCCTCTATTGCATTGAAGGTGGATTTGAAAAAAGCTTACGATTCAGTGGATTGGAAATTTATTCAATGGAGAATGAAGGTTCATGGCTTCAGTGATAGGTGGATTGGTTGGATTTCGCAGTGCATTACTACAGCTAAGTTCTCTATACCGTGCAATGGTGTTCCTGCTGGGTATTTTGGGGCCACTAGAGGGATCAGACAAGGTTGTCCCTTATCTCCACTCCTTTTTTCGTTTGTCACAAAGTATTTTAGTACTTTAATGATGAATGGGATTCAGTCAGGTGGTTTTCATTTGTGTAAAGCAGTGGCTACTACTGGTATGCGTATTTCTCATGCTTTCTATGCAGATGATCTTCTTATGGTGGTCAAGGCTGATGTTTCAACTGCAAAAAGTGTGGATGCTGTCTTCAAGCAATTTCAGGATGCTTCTGGTCTTCAAGTTAATAAAGAGAAGAGCTCCATTATATTTTCTAAAGCTGTCAGAGGTAGAAGAAGGTTGTCCAGAATTCTTAATTTTCAAACTGAAACTTTTCCTTTTACTTACCTGGGTTTACCTTTATCAAACAAAAAACTGAGAGTAGCTGATTTCTTACCTGGGTTTACCTTTATCAAACAAAAAACTGAGAGTAGCTGATTTTAGAGTGCTGTTGGATAAAGTGAACTCAAAGTTGACTCATTGGAATACTATTAATTTATCTCTTGCAGGGAGGCTTGAGTTGATTAAATTAGTTTTATATTCTTATCTGTGTCATTGGTTGTTTGGGTTTAAGATACCTTGGGCAGCTATCAATCAATTGGAAAAGAGGTTTAAATGGTTTTTATGGAGTGGTAAGCAAGATTTGAAGAGAATGTCTCAAGTAAAGTGGAGTCAAGTGACACTTCCTTTGTCTGAAGGTGGGTTCAATATTAGGAGAATCCATGATATAGATGTTGCAACTAAAATGACTTTGTGTTGGGACTTTGTTCAAAGTAAAGAAAAATTGTGGATTCAATGGTTGCAGCCTGTATATCTTAAGAATGCTTGTTTTTGGACTGTGATACCAAAATTAAGTGCCTCTTCTATCTGGAAGCAATTATTGGAGTCTAGACAGCTAATTCTGGAGAATACAGAATTTAAGGTTGGGGATGGTATGAAATTCAAGCTATTAACTGATCCATGGTGCAATGCACAGTCTTTGGTTCAGAAATTTGGGGCTACACAATTTAGACACATTGACAGAAGTATCATGGTTTCTGAAATTATTCAAAATGGTACTTGGCTCTTTCAACTTGATTTGCCTAATGAAGTCTGTCTTGCTATTCAAAATTTGGAGCTGCAGGCAGGTGCTGATACAATTGTTTGGAAGCATGGATGATTCTCTCTGAAGGCAGCTTGGAGCATCTGTAGGGTTAGAAAACAGCAAATAACATGAAGTTATTTTGGGGCCTGCTGTAGACCTCGAATTGCTGTGTGAGTTACTATAATTTTACATAACAAAAATCCCAGTTTTGTTAATCTGCAGAAACGTGGTTTGATTCTTCCTTCCATCTGTCATAACTGTTTGGCAAATATTGATTCTAATGATCATCTTTTTTGTGAATGTGCATATGCTGCTGCAATTTGCCATGGGATAAACTCAATACTTCAGTTGGAATTGCCTAGTTTTTCTACTTTTCTGCAGTTGACAGATTGGTTCATTGTGAATACAAATGTCAAAAGCACAAAATCAAAGGTGCTGGGTGCCTTCTTTGCTGTTACAATTTGGAAAATCTGGTCAAGTAGAAATTCAGCTTTACACAATGGAACAAAAGACTCTTCTGCTTATGCTGTCAGGACTATAATTTGGGATGTGCTTGCATATCTCAATTTTAGAATGGAAGATTTGTTACTTATTTGCAATTGAAAATGAAGACATCTGTTTGGTTTGAAGCTTGGTTAAATTGGCAATACACCTGTTGCACGTTTAGAGATTTGATAGCAGATTTCTTTGATGAAGTAGTCTTTTTGAAGACTAGAGTGAAGCTGCAGGCTTCTGTGATGATCAGAATCTGTTTTAGTTAGTCAATAAGCTTATTGTTTAGGTTTGTTGAGTTTTTTGGCTGGAAGTGGAGTTTATCCATTCCATTTTATGTACTGGAGTTTATCTCCTTTTGTAATTGTACTGTTTTGATTTTTATTTATAAAAAAAAATATATAACCCATTCGGGAAAAAAAACACATAAGCACAAAAAAGTTAAACAATTAAACCCCAAAACTACTGGTGGAGTGAAATAAAATTCAGGATCCACGTATCACGTATGCACGAAAAGTTACGACAATCGAAACCCTAAAACTAATGGAGGGGTGAAATACTTAAATTCAATATTTTAAGGAAAACAGCAAGCGAGAAGAGAAAGTAAAAGAATTGCATCCAAAACAAGAGCTCACCTTCTACCATCTGCCATATGCTCTTGCCAATCAGATGAAAACTGTTGAGTGGTATTAGGAACGTTTACACCCTGAAATTCCAGTGGAAAGTGCAAAAAATTTATCATGTCAGTTGCCACCCTAAATCAGAAAGAACAGAAGATGCACATAAGACAAGGCTTTTTTGTGGTTTTGATGCAGAATTTATTTCAATTTAATAGGAATCTCCCGCCATTATCACAGACTTCACCTAATATGGAAACATTTGTAAGTTTCTCATTTTCCTATCGCTTTCCAACAGGGTTTGGCATCACCATACAGTCCGTTTTTATTGAGGTTGCAATTCAGATCAGGGGTATGAATTGTCTTTGTCCAGATGTTACGAATTTTACTTTTTTTCCTTCTCATTTCATTTGGGAGAGGATATTGAGCGGTCCGGACATCATAACCTCAAGAGTGGCCAACAAAACGAACACCCACCACAAGGATCATCTAAAAAACACAGATGCATCCATTAAGGTGATGTGTTCGTGTCAAACACCGAACTTCACACACTCCTCGACACAACAATTCATGAACATGTCATAATATAAAAAATATTAATTTCAGGTTTTTAACCAACATAGCGCATACTTGGTCAACACATCCCGAACACTCCAACACAAGTTTTATACTACTACACAAACACACACATCTAAGAAAGTAACCACGTCAGGCAATTTGAATTTTTTTTTAACAAACATCAAAGTGTCCAACCCTTTTCTTCTTAAGAAAACAATATCATATGCATAGCCACCACAATTCAAGCATGAAATGTCACATCTGCATATAAGACACACTTAAAATTATAGTGTCAAAGTAGAAGAGTACTAGTAGCATTTTTAATGTAATGACACTTAAGATATTCATGTCTAGGCCGAGTCTTACTTTTTTGGATTCGACGTGTCAGTATTATGTGTGTATCCTGTATTTGTGTCTGTGCTACTTAGGAGAACATTAACAAAGTAAGTGAAAACTTCAGGTTATATTTCTAAATTTTAATCCAAAGTCAAGGGAGAAGTGGTGGACATTGGTGTAGAATGTGTTACATACAGGAGCCATGAGGTTTCTTCTTCTGGTTGCACACCCCCCTCAAATTGTCACGACCTGCCCATAACATGTAGATATTGTCCGCTTTGCACAGTCTCCGTGCTCACGGTTTTCCTCAAAATGCGTCTACACACTAAGGAGGTGTCCACGCATGTAACTGTCACCAAACTTCTCACCCCGAGAGATGTGGGTTGTCACACAAAGAGTTACAATACACATGTTTCAACACCAAAATGCTACAAACTAATCTTGCTAAAGAATTCTATACCCTAAAAGGAAAACTAAAACTCATCAAAGCAATTCCGACAATCAAAGAAACACAAACTTAGATCTTGCATAAAAACAAATTTTCCAACCTTGAATAGAATTTAGTTTAAAAAACTAATCAATCAGGTAAATAACAAACAAACAAACAAACAAACAAACAAACAAACCAAAAAAAAAAAAAAAAAAAAAGACATATATATATATATAAACACAATACTTTGGATTGTTTAACTCTTGGTCCTTCGGAACTTCTATTTTAAGATATCTCCTTTTATGCTAACTTTGAATGATTTGCATTGAAAATGGGTTTTAAATAGATGTGGAGGAGGGAAAAAATTGGAAATCAAACTTTAAATATGTTACCTAATGAACACGTAATTCTTCACCATCATCCTTGCATTTGTCCCAGATGAATGGGGTCGACCACATCAAATCTCTTTTTCCATTTCTTTCCTATTATATATCATGTCTCCTCCAATATTTATTTATTTTTTATTTTTTTTGAAAGGTAATTAATTTTAGTTACTTCATCTCATGTAAATTCTGGTCAGCCTCTTTATCGCCTACCTTCTAGGAAAACAACCATTCCTCGTCTAACCAGTGAATCTTTAGATCGGTCTACGTTGTAGATGACCATACCACCTAAATCTATTTTCTCTAATTTTATTATTAATAACTGTTATTCCTAGTACTTCCCCCGATTGTTCATTACTAATCTTACCCCTCCTAGTTACTCCTATCATCCATTATAGCATCCGCATTTCCGCTACAAGAATGCATTGTTCTCGTTTCTATTTCAACGCCCAACACTCTGCTCCATATAATATAGACGGCCTAACAACCATCCTATAGAATTTTCCTGTTAATTTATTTGATATTGTTTGCCATATAGGATATAACTAGCTTGCCTCTATTTTGTCCACCCTGCTGCAGTCTTATTTACTACATCACCCATCTATCTCCCCATCTTTTTTGTAAAATTGATCCTAAATAATAAAGTAATTATTTTAAGTAACTTTTTGGTTTGAAATTGTAATATTTATATTATCTTCTTTTGATACTTTATCAAATTTATATTCCATATATTTTGTTTTAGATTTACTAATTTTTAGAACTTTTGCTTCTAACTTTGTTGCTAAGGCTTCCTTGTAAGTATTCAATAAAACTATATCATCGGCAAACAACATACACCATGAAAAGTTTTCTTGGACATCTTTCTATATATCATCCAACACTACCCTAAATTTGTATGGATTGAACACTTATCATTGGTATAATGCTACTTTTATAGAGAATTTATCAGTTTCTCTACATGTAGAACGAACTAAAATCAATGCCTTAATATACATCCTAAATAAGATTTATAAGTTTTTAGGAACTTATTTTCCTTGCAAGGCCCACCAAATTATTTCCCTTGGCACTTTATCATTCTCTAGGTCAATGAAAATCATGTAATCTTTTTGTTTACTTCTACACTCTTTAATTAATCTTTGTTCTATTATCCTTTTCCATAGTTTCATTGCATGACTCAATGATTTAATTCCCATATACAATTTTGCATATCTCCTTTGTTTTAAAATTTCGTACTATGGTGCATTGGTGCTTTTCCTCCATCCACTTGGCATTCTTTCTTCTTTAAGAATTTTGTTAAACAACTGCATTAACCATTCAATCCTTATTTTTTCTAAAAATTTTCATGTCCCTTTATTATTGCCCATTTTCTCAAATGTGACCTCTACTTTCTTTCTTTTTTTCCGCTCTCTCTCTCTCTTGATAATTAGCGTGTCCTCTACTTATTATTAATTGTCTTTACCATCCATAAGGTTCATTACTTGCAATTTCTTCTCTAGTCTATTCCTCATTTAATAAGTATCGAAAGTAAATTTTTCATCTTTCTAATATACCTTTTCTTTAACAAATATTGTTTGATCTATATACTTTAATACACCAAACTCAACCTCTTTCCATTTTTTGATAATTTGTAAATAGTAGTTTCACCCTGTTTTGTTCCTAATTTTTCATATAAGTCATTTAATGCATTTTTATTTGGCTTAAATTACAGTCCTTTCATCTTCATATTTTTTGTATCCCTCTATTGAACACGTAATTGTTGAAGCCATTCTTAAGTTGTTGTTTCTAACACCAAACTTTTCATATTTACATAAACGAAAATAAGTGAATATAGAAATGCAGAATTCTCATTTCCAATTTCCAAAGGCTATAATTAGAGGAAAATAAAACTCATAGTGCTTATGCTTTACAAAGAAACTTAACAATTTAATGCATCACATGGACGCTAACACCACAAGTCAGATGACATTATACAGAACACCTTTCTAACCATCAAGTAAAACTTCTCCAAAGAGACTCTTCCCCATATATCTTGATTCTTTTTTCTTAGTGTACTGAAAGGGTAGGAGGTTCACATCCTGTAACATGATCCAAAATATACATCATTTTTGATCTAGGTCCCTTTTTACCAAAAGTTAAAGAACGTGAAAAGGGAGGAGGAGCTATGCCAGAGAAAGAGACCAAAACAGTGCCAATCCTCATACCAGTTGCTGGAAACAGCAGAGTATCTTCATGCCACCTACCCAACCCCCCAAATTAGCACTAAAATGCCAGAGCTATCTTCCAGCTCTCTTGACCCTTATTTGAACCCTAATCACCTCTTGATGTCTCTTCAGATGAATTAGACAATTTATAAAGATCGCCCACAAGGGCCTGGCACCGCTAGGCCACTGGCCTGTTGGTCAGGGATTCGAGCCTCAGTAGAGGCATGTGTGTGTGAGTACCATCTAAGAAAAAGAAAAAGAAAAAGTTGAAAAAAAAAAAAAAACGAATGCCCACATCACAAAGACCCCTAGATAAATTAAAATTAAGACAACACTAGTACTTTCTTTCATATGGCAATTAAAGCCATAACACAGTTGTAGCCAATGACATACACTAAAATTGGAGACAAAAAAAAGTAGGCAGCTTCCGCAGCACATTAATCATCAAATTGCATACAAGGAAACATCAAGACATTGCACGAACAACAAAGAAATTCTAAAAGCTGATAAACACTAAAAAAGAATTCAATGAAGGGTGAATGCTGACTTACTGGAACTGTGGCATGTGTAACTGAAGGTTGTTGCCCAGTCTCCTGCACAGGTGCAACAGGTGGTGCACCATGACTTCCAGTTGACAACCAATGTTGTCCTCCAACAGGTGCATGCATTTGTGACAAAGGTTGGTACTGGGATGAGACATTGACCGCAGTTGGTGGCTGGCCGAAAGAAGATGGTGCAAACTGAAATCACAAACCATTATGAAGTTAATACCAATCTGAGACTCAAAAAGTATATATATTTGGATAGCTTACAGCATGCAATGAGAAGAGACTTACAGTATAGGATGAGGAGAAAGGTGCTCCGGGACCACCTAAACCAGGCATATGATTATTTAAGTGCGGAGCAGGTTGCTGGGTCTGTGGCATGTTTGGCTGAATGTATGGCATTGGAATTGCTTGTGATGAAGTTGTAGCAAGACTTGGCTGGCCAGGCCTTGGAGGTAACTGCTGCATTGGTTGAGAAAACTGCAGAGGCTGACTTTGATTAGAAGGCATCCCAACATTAGGTGAAGATATACCTTGTCCAACTGGACGAAATTGTTGAGAACCCAAAGTTGCTGGAATAAATGGCTGTCCTTGCTGTGCCGGAAGTACAGATCGAAACTGTAGCAAATGTATTTGGTCATAGTGAATATATTATAGAACTTATAAGAAGCAGATAAGGGAGCCTCATGCACGGGGCTAGCCCTTGTTATAAGAAGCAGATAAGGAATGACATTTAACTCAGAAAGGACAGAAGTTAACCTGCATAGGGAAGGGTGAACCAAAACTTTGAGGGCCCATTGATCCAACTGTAGGAGGCCTAGGAGGCTTTTACAGGAGAAAGAAAGAGACGAGGGGAGGGGAGGATAGACAAATATTTAGAGCCCAGAATAACACAGCTAAACAATATAAAGAATTAGCATAAATATATTTTACGATATCATAATCTTGGCCAGGGAAAAGTGAACAAACCAAGTTCTAAAACTAATTAAGTTCAACCAAAACTCATGCCAAAGGGAAATATATAATTCTTTAAGTTAATCCAGTCAAAGATTGGCCTGAACTGTCATAATAAATATTTTGACTGAAAACTCAAGCTGAAGTAAAGCAGTGTTAAATTCATGTTTCAATACATTGAAAATGACCCAAATTAATGACAAATATCTGAGTAGCACAAATCTTAGCTTAAACAGTTTTTTTATAAAAAATTAAAAAAAAAAAAGTTCATATAATTTGTAATTAAAACAACATTGGGATAAAAGATTATAAATACACAACTTATTTTTGGTTAACTAGAGTTGAAATGTTCTTGTACCAAGATGAAAAATGAAAACACAAGTAAATGTACTACCTGAGCACCAGAAGACTGAGAGTTATTGGCCATTCCTGCACATAAGAAAGCTTCTACAAAGTACAAAGAGCTGCAGAACCAACAAGTCAAAAGCAAAAAACTCAAAGATCAACATGTTGCAAAATATGAAACTAGAAGAATTGCTAACAAGATCATAAGCAAAATTGAGTGATGAACCCATGACAAAGGAATAAAAAATTGTAAAGTATGCCATATATCAAATTATCAATCAATATATTAGATATCATTGTATCACTAATGCTGTGTTCGTAGGAAGGAAGGAAGAAGTGTGGAGAGAAAATAGGAAGGAAGGAACGAACTTCCTTTGTTCGGTAGAGGGTAGAGATGATACAAGGAAAGAAAGGAGAATAGGAACGATGACCCATCCTTCCTCTACAAATTTTCATCCGCTCAAAAATGGGCGGAAGAAAGGAGGGAAGACAAGTGGACTATTATAGAAGTTTTAAATTAATACTATCCTAAATTACAAGTTTTAAATTACAATATTATCCTCTATAAATTACAATACTATAAATATTATTGGATATAATGGTAAAAAGTAAAAAACAACTAAAACTTTCTCTTTCCTTCTCTCTCAACGAACATAGGAAATTATAAATTTATTCTCTTCTATTCTATCCAACCGAACAAAAAGAAGGAAATACACAATCTCTTCCCTAGGGATGTCTCATGCATCCCTTCTTCTCTTCTTTCTATCAAATTTTTTTCTTTCCTACCATACAAAGCATAAGCCGGTAAAATTTTGACGAGGGTCAAAATTCATTCTCAAGGCAGATAATCGCTGATACTGTTCCATATTCTAAGGGATGTTTCTTATTAATATCACTTAAAAGTCTCATTCTATCAACGTCAAATATAATGCTATTAATAGGATACAGTAGCATATGTTAATGATGTATAATGTGTAATTAAATATTCACAGTACTAAGAATTCTTCAATTAAAAATAAGAGTACTTGTGTGCGATAATTTTGGACTCAAAGGGTTTAAATATAAAAATAAATATACAATTTGTTTAAGTTTTATAAGAAGATCCATTAATGAGTAAAAATATGTCAGTCAAGACGTGAACCGCCGTAATTAGACTAGTTTGGTGTGATACCATATTTGCAATTATAGACACCACGCAACATTTGAATTTTAATAGAGATTCTCAGAAAGTGTAGTGGTGTCAGGTACCTATTTCGTAAGTCACTATAGGACTGGGACATAGATAAGATTATGATATTATATTGAATCTTATATGATCAGTATTTTTGGATGACGCGGAGGATGAAGTGAGGTTAGTGAGATCAAAAGGCGAGTTTGGGAGTCTAGATCCTTTTTATACGTACAACACCAATTAACAATAATAAAATTGTCATTTCTTTAACGAATATCAATGGTCATGATAGTTTTTTTTTTTTTTTTTTTTTTTTTTTTTTTTTTTTGTGACAAGTAATGGTCGTGATGTTTTTGGAGAGGGTTCATTCTTGGTGGGACGGTTCTGATGTGATTGGCACCCCAAGCTTCATCCTTACGGGTAAATTGCGTCGATTGAAGGAAGATATTAAAAGGTGGAATAAGGAAGAGTTTGGGACCCTGGAATGGAGAAAGAATCGAGCATTTACAGAGATTGCTGATATCGATAATATGGAGGGGCTGGCTGATATTGGGGAGGCTTTGAGAAATAGGAGGGCAGTTTGTCAGTCAGAGATCGCTGAGATTGCGGTGCTTGAGGATATTTCGTGGAGACAGAAATCTCGGGCTCTGTGGTTAAAGGAAGGAGACCGTAACACGAGGTTCTTTCAAAGACTTGTTAATGCCCATAGAAGAGGAAATCATATTGGAAGGATTTGGGTGGATGGTGTGTTGTTGTGCAAGGATGAGGAGGTGTGTAGTGGAATTGCATCTTTTTATCAGAAGTTGTTCATTGAGACTTCTAGTTGGAGACCTTCGCTTGGGGGGCTTCATTTTGACTCGATTTCTGTTGCTGAGAATGTGGTTTTGAAAGACCTTTTAACGAAGAAGAAGTGCTTATGGTGCTAAAGAGCTGCAATGGGGGCAAAGCACCGATCCTGATGGTTTTTCCATGAGATTCCTGTTGGAGAGTTGGGAGATGGTTAAGGGAGAGGTGATGGGTACATTTCATGCCTTTCACTCTCGGGGCCGCTTTGAGAGGACTTTGAATGCCACATTCATTGCCCTTATTCCTGAGAGAGAGAGAGAGAGAGAGAGAATTGAATGCCACATTCATTGCCCTTATTCCTAAGAAGGGGGGAGTGACGGATGTTAGGGACTTTAGACCTGTTAGTTTGTTGGGGTGCATTTACAAATTGATAGCTAAAGTACTTGTTTTGAGATTGAGGGAGGTGTTGGATGGGGTTATATCGGATTCTCAAAACACTTTTGTAGGAGGTCACCAATTCTTGATTCAATTCCTATTGCGGGAGAATGCGTGGACTCTAGGCTGTGTAGTGGGGTGTCGGGAGTATTATGCAAGCTGGACATTGAAAAGGCTTGTGATCATGTTTCTAGGAGCTTTCTTCTTTATCTGGTGGAAAGGATGGGTATCAGTGAGAGATGGAGAAGTTGGATTTTGTTTTGTATTTCAAATGTTCGTTTCTCAGTCCTTGTGAATGGACCTACAATGGGTTTCTTCTGCAGTTCGAGGGGGTGAGGCAGGGAGATCCGTTCTCTCCTTTTCTGTTCCTCATCGTGATGGAGGCTCTTAGCAGAATGCTGAGGAGGGCGGTGGATGTGGGTTTCTTGAGGAGTTTTCAGGTGGGGAGAGACGCTCTTAGTCAGTTGGAGATTTCTCATTTGATGTTTGCTAATGATACTTGGTTTCAAGTTGTTTCTGGATTAAAGATTAATGTGGGAAAAAGTGTTTTGGTTCTAGTTGGGGAGGTTCCTGATATTTCTGTACTTACTAATACCTTAGGTTATTGCATTGGCTCTTTCCCTATCTCTTACATGGGGCTTCCTCTCGGGACGCCTTCGAGGAGAATGGGTTTTTGGGATCCAGTGGTGGAGAGGTTTGAAAGAAGGATGGCAGGTTCGAAGAAGCAGTATCTGTCGACACGTAGAAGAGTGACTTTGATGAAAAGCACTTTGTCAAGCCTTCCTACTTATTTCCTTTCTCTCTTATAGATTCTTTCTTTTGTTTCTGAGAGGATATAGAGATTACAACAGGACTTTCTTGTTTTGGTGGGGGGGGGGGGGGGGGGGGGAGTGCCTTTTAATAAGGCCCTTTTGGGGTAGTGGTTATGGAGGTTTGGTTTAGAGAGGCACATACAGTGGAGGAGGGTGATTGTGAGTAGATTCGGGAAGGACAGAGGTGGCTGGTGTTCGCTAGAGGTGAGACGTCCTAATGGAGTTGGTATGTGGAAATTCATCAGAAAGGGATAGTATGAATTTTCTAAGCATATCAGGTTCCGAGTCAGAAATGGCTACAGAATTCGTTTTTGGGAGGATGTTTGGCGTGGGAAATGGTCTCTTGCTCTCTCCTATCCCACTCTTCAGGATTGCCACGGACAGACACGCCTTGGTGGGTGACTGTTATCGTCTTGATAGTGGTAGATCATCTTGGGATGTTCGTTTTTTGAGGCATTTTCAAGATTGGGAGATTAAGTAGTTTTTTTTTTTGGAGGAGTTGTATCATCAAGAGATTGTTAGTGGAGTCCCTGATTCTATGGTATGGGTCCCCTCTTCTAGGGGTCATTTTGAGGTTCGCTCATACTTTAGATGTCTTAGGATTTCTCGAGGAGATGCATTCCAATGGAAGACTATTTGGCATTCTAAGGCCCCCCTCAAGTTGGCTTTCTTTGTTTGGACATCTGTGTTGGGAAAGATATTAACCCAGGATAACCATAAGAGGAAGAGACAAGTTGATGTCAATTTGTATGTGTGAGAGAGATGACGAAACAGTAAATCATCTTTTAAATTGCCCAGTGGCTCGGGATTGTTGGGCTTTGATATTTCGTTTGTTTGGAGTTAAGTGGGTTATGCCCAGATCTACCAGAGGCTTGATTGAGGCCTGGACAGGCTGTTTAATGGGGGCTCATGTTCGGGATTTCTGGACGATTACGCCTTTGTGTATCTGGTTGTGTTTATGGCTTGAACGAAATAGGAGATACTTTGAAGGGAAGGAGACTTCTATTGGTGTGCTGAAATTCTCCATTATTAGCTCTATTTTGTGTTGGGTTCTTGGGAGATATTGTAAATCCTTTGATGAGATAGTGGACTTTATTGACTCTTTGAGAGATTAGAGGTCCTATTTGGTCTTGTGTAGCTTTTGAGGGATGCGTTCCCTTTTGAAGGCTTCTTTTATACAATCTTACTTATCAAAAAAAAAAAAAAAAAAAAAAGTCAACTTTTTGTTGAGCTTTATTCCGGCCAAATTGTCCTCCAAGGAAACTCAAAGCGCTTATTACTCTGTAAAAAGATCTAGTGTCCCAAACTCGCTTCTTTATCTCAAACTCGCTTCTTTACCTATGAAAAAGATCTAGTTATCCATCTTCTATTGTACAGTTTTTTAGAGTTCATTGGATCATATTAGGATTGGCTGAGGAAGCGTAGCCAAGTGGTGGGGCTGTGGAGTGTGGAGCAAAGCAGGAGAAACATAACAAGTAGCTCCTCCTTGTTTTTAATTGAGCATACAGTATAAGAAGAATAGAAGGTCTTTTGAAGGAGTGGAGTCTGCTATTTGAACTCTCAAATATAATGTGTCGACTGTTGAGCTCCCCTGATTTTTGGTTCACTGGGAGTTTCTCCTTGTAGATGGATCCCTAGCATATTTTTTAGGAGAGATGGGAGTACAGTTTCTTATTTCATATACATCCTGTATACACAGCTGCACAACTGCACCTCCTATTTTACTTATCACGAGAAAGAGAGAGAGAGAGAGAGAGCACTAAAAGATTGTTCAGCAACAAGTACTTATCAAAAAAAAAAAAAAAAAAGATTGTTCAGCAACAAGCTACTGAAGACCAATGAGTACCACTAGTGCCAAACAGTAGCATAAGATCAAGGGGCAAAAAAATGAATATTTGAGGTAAAAAGAGACATGGTAACACGTGGCTTAACTGAATTTATGATCTTAGAAAGAAAAAAAATTCAGAAACAAGAACACAAGTTCTATATAGCGGACCCCGAATAGATTTGAAAATATTTTGTTGAATAGAGTTGGGTTGAGAATTTAGATGCATTGACATATCTTAGCATTCACCTTACATGCTCACCAATGTTAAATAATTTTGAACTTGTCTCTAACCAAAATAGTTATTACACAGCTTTATTGATCAAAATTGGGACGAATACATAACCTCATATTATCACCAATCAATGTTGCATTATTTCCTTTCTTGAACAGAAGATTATTTGCGTTTTTTTAAAAATCTGTTGCCTTTGTGCTCAGAATTTCAAAACTAAACACGTGTAAGACCAACTTGTTCTCATGCATCCCAACCAAATAACACAAACCGTAGTCCTAAAATACAGGTTCCTCCGACAAGATTATCATTACTAGTGCAATACATTTTTCTACAAGTGTTAAGCAAGTAAAATATGAACATGACCGATCCAATCCTCTATAATAATAAGTATCATCAATTTCTAAGTGGCAATATGTGATTTTTTCCTGATAAGTAAAATTCCATTGGCAAATGCTTTAGAGGGGAAGCAACCTGAATACAACTGCACAAAAAAGAACCCACTATACTTCCAAAGAATCCACAAAATCAAAAAATTCCTCTAGATTTACAATACCACCCATGAACCCAAAAGAATAAAGGACTGAGACTTGAGAATTAAGCACCCAAGAGGGAACATCCTCTCCAACAAAGCACCTCCCATTGCACTCCCGCCACAAAACCCACCACAAACAGAGGGGCAACTCTCCAGGCATCAAGGGCTGGCCTCCGCACTATAAAACCCTTCCAAACCTCAAGAAGACTCCTAGTGGAATATTGCATAACCCAGTTAATACCAAACAAAGCAAAAAGAACAACACACCAATCCCTAGCCATGGGACAGTGCAAAAGAAGGTGGTTCATTGTCTCCTCAGCCCCCTTGCACATGCAACACCAATTCACTATAATTTGTGTTGTCGTCATCATCCTCCTCCTCAAATTATCAATCGTTGATATCCTTCCAGGGGAAGCTGTCCCACCAAAAAAAAAAAAAAAAAACATCCTAGCAGGGGGCTTTGGTCCTCCAAATTACCTTCCAAGGAAAAAAAAAAAAAGCTCCCTAACATATTTCCAAACCCCCACCCCTGTTGGAATCCTCACCTCCCCACACCTCTCCAATATTATTTTATTGGTCATTATGTTGGTTATACATGCTATCATACACCCAACTTAACCCTACAGTGGTTACTAGCCAACCACAATCACTTGTGTGAAAGAGGCAACATTACAAGGGAAAACCCAGAGCCCAAATCAACATATATATAAACTTGCATCAAATTTAATCGGCAATAAAGAATAGCGCCGCTACTGAAAAGCATAAACCCCTATATACATCAGATTATTGGTTGGATTCAGCATTTCAAGAATCAAAATTGCCTATCTCGTGCACAATTTTTGAGTCCGTATACGAAAAAACATTGAATCATTTTGGTCCTATTACAAATACCCTACAAAATGTAAAACGAATTGAATATATATATATATATAGCCATACGGAACAAGAAGAAGGGTTACCTGAACAAAGACCAAGGAAAATAGTCGCCGGATGAGTGAAAAAACGTCGCAGATAGCAGCTAGAGAGGGAGAGGCCCAAGTTTCTGTGCCAAACAATATAAACCCTAGAGAGAGAACGAGTTACATCTAACTCTGCTACACCGGAAACATGGGTATTCAGAGGGATCGGTCAATGGGCAGGAGATACTTGCGAGCAACTCAACGGATCAAGGCCCAGCCTGTACTAATAGCCCAGCTCATACCAAGGGCCTTGCGTGACCCGGCCTTTTATAAGTTACACTCACTTCCCAATAATTACATGGACTATCTTTATTAATTCAAGGGCCTTGCAAGACACGGCCTTTTTTAAGTTACACTCACTTCCCAATAATTACATGGACTATCTTTATTAATTAAAGGGCCTTGTAACTCTCGGCCTTTTTTAAGTTACACTCGCTTCCGAATAATTACATGGACTATCTTTATTAATTTAAAATTTGCATTGACCCGTTTTCTTAAAAAAAAAATAAAAAAATTTGCCCGTATTAAGGTCTTCAAATGTGATAGAGCTTGACTCGCGGATGATCCAACAAGCTCAGGCTCAGTCTGACATCCCCTCGTCTTTTTTATTCGGATGGTGGAAAAGTCTTTGTTTGTGGCCCTAAAAAAAACGATTTGAACTTCTCCTCCAAAAAAAAACGATTTGAACTTCTGACATTCAAAACATAAGACGAGAGTCTTGTTATTAGGTTTTTCTTTGTTGATGATCCCTTTTTAAAGAAGAGTAACGAGCAGACCACATGTCTTAGTCAAACATTGTATTCTCTTTATTTTGACCAACTTGAACTATATATCATATTTAATTGACTCATAATTTTATTTTAAGATATTTTTACATAATTCTCATACATGACCAGTTCAATATTAGCAACATGATAACATTGGATTGCATGTAATTTTTTGCCCTTAAAATGTGCTAATTTAGTAGATAATTTATGACAATGGTCACATTTAAAGGCAGTGTTAGGGCTCATTTGGCATAACTTTTGCTTCTACTTTTACGCAGAAAAAAAAAAAAAAAAATCACTTCCATTTAGCTTATGTGTCTGTATTTGAGAATTATATTTTCAAAAGAGTATTTAATGCCAACAAAGTTTTTCTATCTGTTGGCAAACATTTGTTGAAAATCTTCTAATGCTGAAATAATTATTTTGCACTAGGGTGTTGTTTTATGAATTGTTTGGTAATATAAAGTAGTTAACTTTTTTTTTTTAATACAACTCTTTTCTAAACACATACAAACAACACATTCAATATAATCAACTTTAATTCAACATGCCATATATAAAAATGCTTTAAAAAGTCATCAATTTCATCTCATCATTAATATAATGAAACAAAATGTGATGATTTTTGTGAGCAGGTGTGATGTGGGCAGATGCGAGACACTAGACGAGCTACCACATTGGCAAGTTATAGGGTGTCATGATCCCATGTCGCCATATGTAAAGTTCAACACCCTTCTATGACACAACGTGTTTTAAAGTCGTGATGGCCGTGAACTCATCAGAACTCCGAAGTTAAGCGTATTTAACCTAGAGTAATACCAGGATGCATCGATGATCTCCTGGGACGTTCTAGTCCGGGGGGTCCAAAAGCGAACAATATTGTGTCTGGGTAAAGTGATGGCTATTACAAATGGTATTAGAGCCGAAACACAGTTGAAAGTGTGGCCAACGAGGATGCTGGCCCCTACAGGGAGTAATGACCTCTGTGGGCGGGTGCGAGACGTGGACGAGCTACTACACTCGCAGACTACAGGGTGTTATAATCCCAACGTGTTTTAAAGTTGTGATGGCCGTGAACCCATTAGAACTACGGAGTTAAGCGTGTTTAACCTAAAGTAGTATCAGATCTCCGGAGTTAAGAGTGTTTAACCTAGAATAGTACCAAAAAGGGACCTAAAAGGGACCTCCCAGACCCAGAGTAGTACCAGGATAGGGACTTCCTTGAAATCTTAGTCCAGGGAGCTAAAAGTGTGTTTAGGTAGGGAAATTTTTTCGTGGAGTACATAATCCTCTTTTTCACCATATGTTTCAAATTCTTTGTCACAAATAGTCTCTTTCCTTATAAAGTATGTAGAGCCATAGAAGCACTAATAATGGTTATTTGCTTATTAAACTCAAAATTATGCATATTTTGTAAGATTCTCTATTTTGCCTTTCGCACCAAAAGTTCGTTCTATGACACTTCGCAAAGAGGTATTTTTCTCCTTTATATGGGGTTAAAAAACCTTTTATGTTTGAATAGCCAACATTAATCAAGTAGTACTTATCTACAACATTATGAATTCACCTTGTTATTCATAACAAACAATATAATAATAGTTTTAAAATAATAAAAAACAAGAGATTGTAAAAACTATTTGGCGGTTTAGGAAATTTTGTAGCTGGATCTAAATAGACCATTAAAAATATTTTCATATCATGTGCAGTTCCCTCCCATCCCGGCTACACAAAGGTAAATAACATGGCGAACTCGCATACTATGTTTTATTTTTAGTTTTAGAGAGTAATATCATAAAAAGATGAATAACATTCCATACTATTTTTCTAATGGTGACAATAAATTGTTATAATTATTAATATATTTATATTTTTGCATTAAAAAAAAAAGAATAAAATATTATACTCTTTCCGTCCCAAAAAGAATGTCCCTTTTTGAAATCTAGCTTTTTAAGAGAATGAGTTTTAATATTTTTTTTATTGTATTGGTAGTAAATAAATTATCAAATTATCCATAGTGGATCCATGTGGATGTGATTGTTTACTTTTTATAAGTTCATTGTAAAAATATTAAATTAGTAATGTTACAAAAAAAAATATATAGTTTTTTAACTTTTCAATTAGGACATTTATTTTGGGACAACCAAAAATGAAAAAGTGGACATTTTTTTTTTCTTTCTTTGGGACAGAGGAAGTATTATTTTTAGTTTTGTATTGTTGGGAATATAAAAGATGGTTGGAGATTATTTTAAAATATATTCATGATACATCATCTAAATAATTGTACAAAAAAATAATAATAATAAACAAAACACATAGTCCAGCAATATCATATATCAATATCACGTGATTCATGTCCAAAAAACTTAATACATAGTACATCAATATCACATAATTCATCTCTAAAAATATAATACATAGCACAAATATCATATACAAACATCATATGATCCATATTCAAAAAACCTAGTACATAACAACAATACCATGTACTACCATCATATGATCCATGTCCCAAAAACTCAATATATAGCCAAAATACCATATATCAATCCATATCCCAAAAATCTAAAACATAACAACAAATTAAATATTATTATGCCCAAAACCCTGTCCCACATGTAACACATTACTCTCAAATATCAGCATTACTTAACTTTCTATACTAAGCTTTCAACCATACAAGTTGGCTCTCCAAGTCCTCTAAAGCTACAAACACCTCGCCATATGTTTAATTTTTTAAAAATTTGATTCCAAAATTGAAAAGTTTACTCCCCTTTTCACAACTTAGAACCATAACCGGTTTATTAATGACATCTTTAATAAAACATTTAGTTAAATCAATTCGTATTTAGGAATCCCTATTTTTAACGGCTTCGCAAAGTTCAAGTTGTCTTAGTAACTTTTCAAACGTATACGGTTGACTTTTTCATTTGTTGAGTACTTTTTTATTTAGTTTAAGACTCTCCTACAATCATTTCTACATTCTATTTCCTCATTCACTTTCTTCCGAATGTGGTCCATCGTCAACATTATCATTAACGGTAAGTGATTGACTATACAAATAAGGCATTGTTCCAGAAATAGATGCTCATGTAATGAACATATCATTTTCCTTCCTTTCTTTTTTCTAATTTTTATGGATTTTCTTTTTCTGTTGATATTTTCTTTTTTGAGTTCAAGCTTTGTCCCTTCGTTTGTCTTGAGTGCTCGGAATTAGCCTCTAACACTCTTCTCTTTTGAGATTTTGCTTTGTTTTGTGAGGACCGTGTCATTTCCTTACTTTTTTCGATATTTTTCTTTTCGTCTTTTTCCCGTTTATCGTTTCATTTCACGTAACCTCACTTTTTATGCTCGAATTTGATTTCCAACTTCACGTATCTTCATTCCATTTGGTTTTCATAAAATACTTATCTTTACTTTTGTAGAAAAGTACGCTCGTTGTTCACTGTGTTTGTAGGGGTATGGATACAGAATTTCTTCGGAAATATTTTATTTTCTTAGGGTATTTTTCGTAAATATCTTTTGAAGATATTTTGTTTCAGGGGTTTTTAAGAAACTATCTTTTGGAAGATATTTTCATTTTAGGTCATTTGTGCAGTTATCCTTTTATGAAGGGGCCTTTATACAATTAATGAAAGTTAATGCCAAGTGTTCCGTTTTGGGCTTGGATCCTCGTACGGGATTTATTTTCACATTTCGTCAAATTGTGTACTCTTAGAATTTTCTTCTAGTCATTTTCTCCAGTTTTAGGGTTTTTGACCCCAGTTGCCGCCGAATTTGCTCGGGGCATATCTCTTTAGTCGGAACTCGATTTTTGATGCCGTTTCTTCCGTTATTCATTTTTTTTCATGTCGGTTCTTTTTCATTCACAGTCTTTTTCCGTTTGAGGGCATCTGGATAGTTTTCACTTTTCAGGGCCGCACAGGGCCCGTTCGGGGGACTTTTTGGAAAATTCTATAAATAGGGGGAGGAGAGAGAAAATTTCAGTCATCTTCTCTCTCTCCCATGGCCGGCCATCACTCTCCCTTTTCCTTTCTTTCTTCTTTCCTCCATTTAGCCTACTTAGCCTTTGATTCTTCCCTCGCCGATGAAGGTTTTATCGTCGACCTTGACAAGGCCTTCATTTCCATCCAACTAGAATCCGGTTTTGACCATTTTTGAGGTTAGGGTTTGAGTTCGGGTTTGGATTTGGGTGTTGCTGCGAGAGGGTTTGTTATTCCCCTCGTTGTTCCCGTCGTAACCCAAAAGTTTCATCGGATTCAGAGAGGTTTTATTTTGGTGTCATTTGAGATTTTCATCTCAAATTGAGATAGCGGGTGTTTTCATATTTATATCCTTAATGAATTATGTATTCTTGGGGTTTATATAACTTGTATGCATGTCTTT